GCAGCAGCCGCGAGTGGAAGTAGTCCACCTGCGCACACGTGGCAAAGAACACAATGATTTTTTTTCCGAGAGAGCGTATTCCCCGCATCAGAGCCTCGCTCTTCTCTGCAGGCGGCACACACAGCCCGTGCAGGCGCAGCCCGTCCGGCACACACAGCGCGTTTTTCACACACACAAAGAGGGGGCTGCGCATCCCCAGGCGGCCCAGCGCGTGCACGCTCTCAGATACCGTGGCGGAAAAGATCGCAGTCTGCTTTGCGCGCGGAAGCATGCGCAGCATCTCAGACACCTCCTTGCGGAATCCAAAGGAGAGCATTTTGTCGGCCTCGTCAAGAACAAACAGCTCCACGTCTCGGAGAGGCATCCCGCCCTCTCTGCTTAGCTCGAAAATCTTCCCAGGCGAGCCAATCATGACATCCGGCCACGCATCCGCATTGCTCTCTCCCAGCGCGCGGCGGGCCACTATCTCGCCGACCTCTGCGCCGCCAGTGATGCACTGCATGCTCACTCCAAGGCCGCCAGAGATGGACAGCGCAGCCTGGTGGATCTGCTGCGCAAGCTCGCGGGTGGGCGCAACAACAAGCACGCGCGGCCCCTCTGCCTTCTTTGGGCGCTTCTTTCCCAGCACTCTCTGGAGAAGGGGCACAAGAAACGCAAGTGTCTTCCCAGAGCCGGTGACCGCCTCAGCCACTACGTCCCGCTGGCGCAGGAGCAGAGGCACCACACTCTCCTGCACAGGCGTCATATCATCAAATCCCTTTTCTGCAAGATTCTTCTTCAGACTCTCTAGTATGGAAAGCGAAGAAAACTTCATGAAAATTTGCACATCATGCAACTGAAATATTATCACGCCCAAATAGACTAAATTTCCCAAAAGCGCGCATACATAACCATAGTCAACTGTAATAAGAAGCAGCAGGAAAGCAGCAGGTGCATACCCTGCTATGCACACATATTCGCATACACAAACATATAATGCAGACAGTTTATCAATTAATTTATTTATCATACTCTTACTCCTCTACACCATGTGATGAGTGGGTTGTTTATGGCAGAGTAGTGTATGTACGCATGTGCATTGAAGTGCCTTATTTTCACACTATACAGAGATGTAAATCAGCGATGTTTTCGGGTTAAGCCGCCGTCTGAATACTCTCTGCAGTCACTTTTACCACTGCAAGCCATGCGCTCACACACCTATTGCTCTGTGGATATGCTGTCTATCCTTTATACCATGTTATCTGTGCTGTTTACACCTCGCAAGGGGAGAAGCACACTCTGCTGTGCTGTGTATACATATACTTCCCCGCGTACAGAAGTGCGCCCATAGCAGCACCGCACAGCACGCTTCCTGTGGCTGTGGACACAACAGACACGCAAACCGCGCCTGAAAACACTCCCCATCCCTCTGCGAACGCATCCAGTCCGGACTGCAGCACAATGTTCAGCCCCAGACAGAGAAAGAGCATGTCAAACACAGCAAATGGAACATAGAGGAGGAGTCTGTGTCCTGCGGCAAGAGACCCAATCAGCGCAGCAGTGAACAGCAGCGTGTCTGCCATGTGCCTGGACCCAGACTCGTACACCGCAATTGTGGAAGACGGAAGCACCTGCACTGAGCAGCCAAAAAGAGAGGTTACTGCGTTGCACACTCCGTTTGCAAGCAGCTCCTTTCGCGCGCGCGCACTTTTGCCGGTCTGCGCCTTTGCTGGGGGAAAGTTTATTGGAAACTGCATGAGGTTCATTGCAGCAATCTTCCCAATTGACGGAATCTCCCAAAGCACTGCGCGAAGGTCTATGTGGGGGAGAGCCATGCGCGGCACAGCCAGAACCACCTCCTTGCGCGGGTCACTTGCCAGCCATCCCTTTTTAAGGAGAGAGGCTGTTGTCTCCCCCTTTATGAGTGCCCATACATAGAACACAGCGGTGAGCAAAACACCAGCCCAAAGCACACTGTACCGTGCCACAGCAGGGCACCTTTTCTTGCACACCTTGCACAGGAGAGTGACAGCAACGCCAACTGCATTGAACGCCAAAACAGCCTGCCAGTACACTCCTGCTGCGCTGGAGACAGCACACACCCGCTCGTTTGCATACGACACACACAGAAACCCTATGGAAATGAAGAGCGCCATGGACAGCCCAGAGGGTATCCTGTTGATCATGCGCTCAGCGCGAAGAATGTACATCAGAAAGAACCCAGCGCTTGTAAGAAGCGCAGAGAGAGCAAGACACACAAAAAGGTTTGTGAAGACCCTTTCTACCGGCAGACCAGCGGCAAGAGACTCGTGCATGCTCTGCACGTACCTGAACGACTCAGAGATCGGCGAGGATATAACCCCCGACGTGTATGAAGAGAGAGCAAAGAATAAAACTTGGGAAACGCAGGAAGCTGCCACAAATAAAATAGCGCTGGCAGTGTGCACCTCAGCGCCCGGGAAGGACCCAGTGCACGAGAACATCTTCTCACCAACTGTCATCACATACATAAGATAAAGAACTGCGCCAAAGAAAACAACAGGACATTTATAAAGGAGTGACTTTGCTTTTCGCGCAAAAGCGCGCGTGTATTCGGACAGCTTTCCCTGCTCTGCATTGTAAACCATAACTTAAAATTTTTTACTTCTCCTGTTTTTCTGTACAGTGGCTCTACTTCTCATCAAGGAGCAAACAAAGGCATACGGAGGCAAAATCTGTACAAAATATTTTTGTTCGCACAGGAAGAAACAAATTGCGGATTTGCACTAATGAGCAATAGAAACAGTAGGGAGGGGCGTGGTTTGAGTAAAAGATCGATTTAGTGCTTTGATGAAGCTTTGATGAGGGCATGCTTTGAATTTATACAGCAGGCATATATGTTAACTCTTTTTTGTTTTGGAATATAGGGATTATTGTAATTCAGCAGGAGTTACACAAGCATATGCAGAACATGGCTGTGCTGGTGGTTTGGATATGTGTGGAAGGAGTGTGGTGCGTATTTACAGATGTTTTATTCGGATTATATTTATTTAAATGGGCTTAAACATATGTACGTATAGCATGCTCTATATAATATGTGCTCCTGTCTTATCCTGTGTATGCATATTTCCCAGAAAATCTTTCTGTTTGTCAATCCTCTAGAGTCTGCATTTACACTATGCATATATTCTCAATCTAGCAGTGAATAGATGGAAAAGTGGCTCACAAGCAGTGCAAAGATATGTATATTACAGTTAATAGAATAGACATACTTATACCATAATATTTCACTCTATATATACTGTGCAATGAATTTTCTATTCTTTTTGAAATTTCTTGTAAGAATGCATATAAAAAATGGCTGTAGCTCAAATGTCTGCCCTATAGGATCAAGTAGATTTTATTTTAATATTTTATAATTAATGCACTCTGTAATACTTATATTCCATAGGACTCGCCATGAAAGCAACAGATAAAAATAACTTGAAAGACAAGACTAGTGCCATTATTGACAGTTGTATTTTATTTATTATTCTCTATTTTTACAGAAAAGCATAGTATACCTAAATATTTATTTGTTTTAATAAACGCAAATGACCTTATTAAATATCATCCAATATGCAGACACCAGCATAGAATTCACTGCACATGGTTAAAGTCAAAAAGCGCATTGTCTGAGATATAGAACACAACATATTTTTATTAAGAACTTCAAAAAGCATACAGTCCAAATACACAGTTAGTGTGACCAAGCCAGTAAATAGGGGCTATTTCAGCAAGAAAGCAAATACTCTGTCACCTGCAAATTAGCAAACAGAGTGTCTGCCCCATAATAAGCAGTGAAGGAAGGCCACTGATTTTGCTGGTTAAAATGTCTATTAAAGTAGCTTTCCATAGAGAAAGGCCCTATTATTAAAGAGATTATAAAGATATATATAAAATTATTTTGCAGATAAGATAGAATGAAGTGGGCTGTGTATTTGCTGAAAGCTACTCTTATTACTATAGCAGTCCTCATCCTAGTTGGGCTATATATAGCAATCTCTAAATCCATTATAAAAGAAAGGAAGAGTACGCCAACGAAGAGCGATACATGCTGTAGCTGCAAAAAAAATAAAGACATTGCACAAAGGCAGAAAAAAGGCGCAAGGGCCCCATCCAGCATGAAAGAAGATATAAATTATAGAAAGGATCTTACTTCAACTTCTGCAATAGTAAGTGCAAAAGAGAAGCCTGCAAAAGGATCAAATATCTCAAAAAAAAGTAGTAAGTGTGCGATACATAGGCATTCTTCTGCCATGGGCTGATGCGAATGTACTCTTAGCCAGTGAATATGTAATCAAATACAAATAGTAACAGAATAAGCAAAGATAATATAGATAGATATAAACTACAGGGATGTTTGTAGTGTTGTAGTGATTTTTATGGAAGAATAAAAAAGGAAGCTTGTTTCTATTATGCAATTTAACATATGGTAAGCGCATACACATATATTAGATTGAAAACTCAGTCCATGGTCTGCAGTGTATCTCAAGTAGCATATGCACTAAAAATAGAGCTACTGTAACATAAGAACACGAGTTGGAATATATTATGCTTTTGCAAAGAAAGATTTCTTATATGTCTATACAGAGGCCATTCTGCGTTTTTTTGTATTTTAATAAAATTGGGTTATAATTCATAAATGGACTTCATTAGAATACTTAAACGCGAACAAGCAAGAAAACTCATCAAGCAATAAATCCACGCATGTATTTGGGTTACATCCTGCGACAGTGTCTATAATACTGCTGAAAAGTATGCATATAGATGAGCCTCCTTCTTGAAGAAATGCTAGACTTGATCATGCTTGGGCTATAATTTATTTCTTGACATATATTTATAGGCCTTTATACAGTGGCCGTTTAGCATCATACTTATAAAAATGAACTACTATAACAACTAATGAGAGTGTAGCATGGCATAGTAACAACCATAAATGGCCAAAGTAAAAACGTGTAAACAAGCAGAGCCTTTTACAGAATAACATTCAGCATTCAAAGGCTGGGAGAGAAATTGCAAACACCAATATATATTGCTGACACAGAGAAGATACTTTACAATTTTATGGGAGAGAAAAACACCAAATATCACTCTGTTATTCTACAGCTGTCCAAAGGCTACACACTTTGCTTATTTCGGGTTTATCAATAGAAAAGCATTTGAATATGAAAAGCATTAATAGGGGAAGTATTGTATTTTCGGTTTATTTTAATTCATGTATACTCACACAGTGCTGGATAAAATAAGCCTTTCGGCAAGGCCAAATACACAAAAGCCTATGAAGTGGATGAAATCTGCTTTAAATACGTCTTTGTATAACTATCGTATTCTTCTTCAATTATTTTAGAGATGTATGCCTCGTTTTGGCCCTTGAAAAGAATAGGAGTTCTGTATAAAAAGCTATTGTAGAGAAGATTAAGCGATTTCCAATTGAATGAACTATTTTCTGCACAGGGTGCCCCGCCGCAGTTAAGACTTTGCGCGCGCTCTTTGCTTTGGAAGAGATCGGATGAATTGCTTTTTTTGTTGAAATCTATGACTCCAGAGCCTAGTGCATTTTTAATAATTTGGTATGCAGGCTTATACAGCTCCTGCACAGATTCTGTGCTGCGCTCGCCAAATATATAAGCATAGATAGAGGCGCGCATTGTGTTTTCTCTTGCTCGCTGTAGAGATAGCATACAGAACTGGTTGTTAATGGCAAGAGAAGCGCCTTGCATGTACTTATTTATGATCAGTTTGAGCTTTATCAAGTCCTCTCTGAATCCAATGTTTTCACTGTATGCAGAAAGCAATTTTTCACACTTAAACAGTTTCTCTATTTTTGTCATTATAGAGGTAGACATGTAAACAAGCTTTAAGCTATTTAAGAATAGCGGGTGTGCGGCAGCTTCACTATTTTGTGTCTTCACAGCAAGATCATCTGATAAAGCGCATGCATTGAAGAAACACCCAATGTGGTCTACCCAGATCTCATTACTTAAATTTTCCGTCCTCTCTAGAGATTTATTTCCAGAGGAATAAATCTGTTGCATGCTTATATCCATTATCATTGAAATTATGTCAAAGCTGTTTAGATCCAACTTGATTTGTTCTCTGCTCGGGCCAAAGCCATGTTGGACACTTTCCATATAAGAGTCATACATATCTGGACGCATTGCACCTCTAAAGAAAAGTCTGTCACTATGTGAATGAATACTCCAATAATCATCCATATACTGCAAACAGACAGGAATTATTTTCTCGCCAAGTATTTCCTTTGTATACCATGTGTCATTTATGTACGTTGCATTTCGTACTTTATGATCGTCTATACTGTGTTTTTTATGTATATTATAGAAGAGCGGCATCATTTGCTTGATACCCTGCTCAACCATCTTATTCATCGGAACCGTATACTTTTCATGGAATGTTTTTTTAATCTCCTCCTTGCACTCGTCAAACAGAGCTAAGTCAAACTCATCGGGAAGCACATTAGACGGAGTGGTAAACGAGCTGTAGCCTTGTTTTTTTGTTTTCATAGCCCTGTGGCGAATGCACACTTTCCAAATCTCATCTATTGCTTCTATTTCTGTTATAACAGCAAAGCGTGTCATGTACGTAAGGTCTGCAAGATATTTAGTGCACTTAAATATACTATCCAATGTCGCAGCCTCTAGATTATATGTCTTTCTTCTGTGCATTCGGATCAATACTTGATGCATACCATAGAGATTGCATGGAAGAACGGCCTCCACCGGGTTTACCTCAAAGTTAATTTTCAGATCTATCCCCTTTAGCATGCATTTCTGGATTTTTCCCAGGGAGTCCAGCTTTTTAAAGAGCCTCACATCATTAGATAGCCTAATAGGCTTTTGCGCATGAGGAAGCAATACTTTTTCTTTCATATACTTAGGTATATACTGGACCCAGTCAGCAACAAGAATTTTGCTCTCATCTGGATTATCATCGCTTTTTAGTTCACATATTATGTTGCCCGCAAAAATTGGCCTTTCTTGTAGCTGCCTCTCAAACTCTATGCTAGGATAGGTTTCTATGCTTTTGTCCACTTCGCTAAATGTAGATAGTCCTATGCTTTCTTCAGCTTTAGTAAGTTGCTGCACTTCACGGGCTTGCATTCCTACACTATATGCTCTGACCACACTTTTTGCGTGGCTTCTCATAGATGTCTTCGCTTCTTCTTCATAAAACTGTGTGTATGGGTTTTTTCCATAGTCGCTCTGGTTATACATCTGTGTTTCCTCTATATTTTCAGACTGTGACCTCATAAATGCTCTTGCTTCACTCACTGCTTTAGTACCGTCATAAACTACCGCTCGCTCTTGTGGTATGTCGTTTAGGCCCTGCTCGTATTCTTCTCTGTCTTGCATGATTATTATAGGTGTTTTTGGGCTGCTCCATGGTTGTATATCTATTGATAGTGGATTAAAACTTTGGGCTTCTTTTTCTGTAATATTTAAAGCATATTTGGGATTTGTTTCTTCTTTAGCTGTACCTAAATTAGATTTCAACTCTGTTGACTTTTTAGAATATTCCTCCTGCACCTCACTAGTCTGTACGCTTTTTATTGCACTTGCCTCTGTGTTTCCTGCATTGCTGTTATGCCCCATAGATTCTGAGTTCTTATTTGACTTATCATTGTCCTCTGCAGAAGCAAGACTATATAACCCTGAATTTTCAGGATTTGTGCTAGACACATTAGCACCTAGGGTATCTTCATTGCTCTTACTAGAATTATAGTGCATAGTAGTGGTGTATACTACAGTACATAATGCAAGCGCAGAAGCTATTCCTAACGCCATAAAGAAGTTACCTGTAAATCGACCTGCCATTCTTTTTAATTAATATTTTCGCGTTATATAAGTTTTTGATTGGTCACTTTGATATTTATTTAGAAAATTAGTTATTAAAGAAGATATTATACTTCGGGATGCATGCACATAACCGCGGCCTGCACTTTTTCCACTGCATTCATCTGAATATGTTTGCCTTCTGCATTTTCTAAAGCACATAGCCTCATTGCAGACTCTTCCGTCCCTTTGGATACCTTACATAAAGAGTTTTTAATTAAATAAGCAAACTATCAACCTGATCTGTGCATTTGAAAGTGCACGTGTGTACCAAATGCAGCCCATCCACTAATGTCTCTTGCAATGTTTTAAGATACATTTAGTAAACCAAGAAGCTTTTTCTCTATGTAACAAGCATCCGCCAAAGTAAAGATGTCTGTTAACATATTTATACAATGCATGGTTCGAAACTATATAATGCATATGTGCGAAAGAACATTGTGAATAGAAGAAAAGTTGCTGTGCCAGGTGGCAGCATTCCACTGGGGTTGCGCAAGTATTGTCTGCATATTTCTTAGAAGTGAGAACTTTATGTGCACAAGAAGCTTCCTTGGCTAAAGGCTTTCAAAACATATATGAAGCCGATCTAAAAGCGATGCAGAGCTCTTATTACTTTTCCATATCCTACTACAGTCTCTATGCAACAGCTATTGCACTGCATAAAAATGCTCAATACTTTTGTTCTGCATGTACACACTGCTTTTTCAGCTGCACACTCGAGATAGTTACAACAATTGCACAAACAAGAGCAAAAGAAGCACTAATGCAATCTGCTTGGAGCCCATTGCATAAAAGGCCTTTTTACTTCTTTTTAACCCGAAAATTATAAAAGCACGACTGTTTATTCTCTGTCTGATATGTATCTTTTAGAGTGTTGAGAAATTCGAAGGGGGTGCTGTTTTCTTTGTTTAGAAACATATAGTACCTTGCATTAATGGCCTCATACATCTGCATTGTGTCTTTCTCTAAGTATGCTTGGAAAGAGCTTGTTTTTGCACGCTTTTTTGCCCTCTTCTCTTTTTTGCTTAGCAGAAATACTCTGCCACGCGGCGTTGCCTGCTTCTTTTCTAGGAGCTCGCTCCAAATTGTGTTTGCGGACACAGAAAGACTCTTCAGTGCCTCTGGCATTTCCACACCCTGCAGCCCATCTGCACACATACTTAAATCTTTTAGCTCCTTCTGTGCACTCCAAATCTCAAGCGGCTTCATTGCTCTGTACTCTATGTATCCCTGATGTATAGGGTTTCCTGACCGGGTGAGGTATTTAATTATTCTGTATATAAGAGTTGTTTTAGCTCTTTGTGTGCAGGCCTTCAGAAAAAAGTGCTTCTTCTCCTCAGACCAGGAAAGAGAATCCTTAATTGCGCGCATCATTCGGCATTTTTTCTGTGCGCACGGGTATAGTGCTTCTTCACAGTTTCTTCCATCTAGCATGCGCGCCAAGCTTTGGCCTATCTCAAAAAAAGAGGCCTCTGCGCCAGACCCTCTAGCCATTGCACGGTACAAATCCTCAGTAGTGTTTAGCTCGCACAAGCATATAAACATGGCTACCACGCCTAGGTGGCTTTGTGCTCTAAGCAAATGGCACGCATGTCTCTTGTACATCTTTTTTTGGTGTCCTCGAATTTATTAAAAAGGCATTTTGCCATCTCTAGGTAAGGCGCCCCAATCAATCTGATACAGTGCAAATATTTTTGGAACAAACGTAAAGCAGCGGGTTTCATAGAAAATAAATAGCAAATGCACACGCAATATCTGAAACAGTGTTTGAAAAGGAATATAAATATCATATTTTCAGGGAGGATGCATGATCATCACAGCATACACAGTACTAATTCTATCTCTGTATCTTGGAGCAGCCCATGCAGAGGTGTGCTATGACAGAAGATCAAATATACTACAAGGTAAGACTGATGAAATATATTTAGACAGCGCCAATTTTAGAAACTGGCCGAGGGATGAGAATGGAGTGCAGAACATTGACAACACCTGCCCGATTGGATTCACCTGCCTTGCAAACAGAGATACAAAGCCTTCAAAAAAAAGAAAAAATAAAAAGGCAAGAAAACCCCGAAGAAAACCAATAAAAAACATTAAGCTCAAGTCTCGCCGGTTCAAGCGTGACGACTTTATAGACGAGGGATGCCTTGGCCTGGAAAAATATGAGGAGGTTGGACTGCAGTCTGCGTTTAACAATCTGTATATGGGAGCATGTAAAGATTGCATAGGGAAAGATGCCGCGAAATACAAAACGCTAGCCATGGTGTATACCACATTCAACAACGATGAGGCGAAATGGAAGTTCATCGCATTGAACGGCAAGTGCACAATAAAAAACGTGCACACTGGGATGTATATGAGCAAATGTGACAACTGCGCGCCCATGGTATTTAATACTCCTATGGTGGCTCTTTTCAGAGAAGAAATAGACGATAATACAAATGATGAGGTATGGACTGTGACAAGAAAGGTAGATGGTGACTACGTGTTTCAGTCCGCCAGCAATGGAGGATATTTAGGAGTCTGCACGGACTGTCTTTCTGAAAAAACTACGATGACCCTGCCTGCTGCAACATTGAATACTGTTCATGATTCACCCTCTGTTGCATGGTCTGTAAGAATAGATGAAGAAACTGAATCATATGCCTAATCTAATTGACAGTCCTATCTGAGAGTGCTCTTGCAAATAAATAGTTCTATTCTAGTATATTCCGATGTACCTTTGTGTGCCTTGCTGGCTCAACAGAGACCACTGGCTGCAGCTTATTAGATATTTCTTCTTGAATATGTGCATATATAAACTGGACACAAAATCTCCAGTTTTAAAAATAAAATACTTGCAGTGAAGAGTTTCTGTCTGAAAAACATTTGGAGAGCAGAATTGGAGAGGTAGATATATTTTATCTACTTTACCAACAAAAACCTATAAGATAGCGCGAACAGCAAAGTATATGCACCTTTTGCAGCAATGTCCTGAGCAGAGACAGTAGCATAGGATATATAAACAGATCAACGTGTCCAAAAGGGGAGAGTATTTCAGCAGACGACAGTAGTCTAAAACCCAATAGGGATAGTTGACAAGAATGTTTTATTTTTATATTTTTGTAAGTGTCTTTGGTGCCTGTGACCCTTTGTATCTTTATTAGATATATTTCTTACTGTTGACACATCCTACTTCTTTTAATATTTTCATACAATTTAGTAGAGTGGTCTTCTGATTTGTAGAATTTTCCCAAAAAAATCTATTATTGATGTATTCTTGTAGCTTTGAAATAATAATGTGGGATTTTACCACACACTAGCACAACACACATATATTACAATAATACGCAGGCAATAATATTGCTAGTACGCTTGAGGACTATAATATAAAATAAAGAGTGCTGCTTTTTCTTATTCATCGTGAAATTGATTTATTATTGTCTATATAGTTTCTGGTGGCGGCTGTTAATTAGTGCTATGCCAGCTAATATAAGTTTGATATTAAGTATACACAAACATAGGCTGCTGTACTCCAATGTATAAGCAGCTGAGCCCTTTATGTCTTATAGGCCAATAGCCAAAGCCTTTGCAAGGACAATAACTAATCGTCCTATCGCCAACCCGAACCCGAAAATTTCACGCCCATCAAGTAGGGAAAACCAGCGCTCATATAAATAAGCCAAAGTTTGACAGGGCGGCCCTATGTGCATGTACCATAAAAAGTTTTTTTTGTAACTTCCTTATATGAAGTTATTGTGCTTAATCAGTATACTTGCTTTCTGCCAGGTAGGTGCGCGGCTTACTCTTCCCAAAATAGAAGAGCTTCAGAAGGCCACATACAAAAGCGACACATTTGGTCTCCAGAAAGTGCGCCAGGAAGGGCCCTTGGGCTTTTTGCACACATATATTTATCACAAAAAGGGATATATGCACAATAAGCGATTTTATTCACCTGTAATAGAAACATCCTACAGCCTTGTGAAAAACCGAAAAGCAGATAAAACAAGCCCTACAACGTTCACATTCATCCGAGCACCAAATAAGGACACAGTACATCCACTTAGTAAAAGTGCAGATGAAGAGAGTAGCTATTTAGAAAGCTACCATGCAAATCTTATCCGAATGTTTCCATCGTCCACAGGGGACCTTTCAATTGAATCAGGCCGATACAATTCGCTCACTAGGTTTCTTAGAAGCAGGGAGGTGCAAAAGCATACATCTCACATTCTAGCTGCTCTTTTCTTGCTTGCAAGAGGGGTACAGGTAGAGCTTATGTGCAATAAAGAAGAAAAAACACTTCTGCTAAAGAACAAGAAAGGGGGTGTTCTATTCGATATTCCTATGAGAATCTCAGGATATTCAAACAAGAACAGCAAAAAGAAGAAGAACATACCCCAGAAAGAGGCAGAGATGATTATTAGCTTTTTCATAGAGTGCTGTGCTAGCAGGCCTTTATCCACACAGCATATACTTTCCCAGGAAATCAGCTTAGAGGAGTTTAATAAAGGAAAGTTTCTGGACAGCCCAGAGTTTCTCATAGACACATATATCTTTGAGTTTATAGAGAGCGTGGAGAGTGCTAAGAATTTTGCGAGAGCTGTTCATGAGATGCTAATTGACTGTGTTGAAGAAGAGCTCTGCATAGAGCACCAAGCCAGCTTAAAAGAAGCAGCACTCGTACTTAACCAGTGCTTTGTCTCTGTAGAAAGTGCAGAGAAAAGTGAGCTAAGCCAGCTTGATGTACTAAAAAGCATTCATAACACAACACAGAAATACAAGGTCACCCCTTTCTACGATTCCAGCTACTTCCTTGAATACACAGTAACTCCGTGCTACAATCGTGAATTGAAGAGGTTCACACACAATCCAGTAGAGAATTTTAGTAACTGTGTGGAAGCAGGAATTCTCACGCTATTCTGCTGTTTTGCATATGAACCCAGCACACAAAGCTATACAACCAGCCACATCAAATCGCCGTCTGACGATCTTAGGGAGTTTTTTTACATGTACCCAGAGCCCGTGGAGAGTGCAGACAGACAGCTGCATATGGCATGGGGAAGAGTGGTGTCAGATCTAAAAGGAGGTGCTGTATATCTAGGCAAAGGAAATGAGCTCGAAACAGGAATACTTAACATGCTGAGTGTTCTAGTGGAGGTAGCAAATCTGCCAAAAGAGAAGCTCAACATGCTAATAGAAAGGGTGAATAGCATAACAGGCTCTGATCAGGATGTGTTTGCAGATATAAAACAATATACCACAGAGGTCTTTACAGTTCTGTCGTACAATAAATCCTTGCAAGTTAACTTTGCAGACCTAAACAAAGGATACCTAGAGGATGGAGGTGTAGATGTTTTTGGCAAAATCACCTTAGCATACATACACGGCGATGTAGAGAATGCAATAGAATTTATTTTGTCCCGGAAGCACATGAGCATCTCTCTGCCAGCAAGCGCAAACAATAAGGCAGAAGTCATGGTGAAAGAAATTCTTGAAGTACAAAAAGGATGCAGACAGCCATGGACCTTTTTCGAGCATCTTCTTATGCACTATATCAGCTCAACCATCAATAGCATTATGGAAGGCACTGAAAACAGAGCTGCTATTATATACCAGATCAAGAAAGTGCATGCAGATCCAATCAAGAAAAGCAATTCTTTATTTCTACTCAAAAAGATAGAAAACATTGAGTACAAGAGAGAAATTGTGTCTCGTCTTATAATATACTCAAAAATAGAAGATCTACATGCATGTAATCCGGTGGTAAGGTTTACGTCAAATATAATAGGCAGCGTACCGCTAGGAGACAGGGCCACACAGAGAAAAATGCTGGCTGCTTCTATTTGCACGGGAAGATGCGCTGCATGCTACCCAAATGTTCAGCTAGAGGAGTACGATCTAAATCTCATGATTGAGTATACGTATGAAGTAGTCCAGGTGTTCAACTATATAATAGGCACTCAGAACCCATCAATGCTGCTGCACTGCTTAAATGTGTATATGCGTAAAATAGGATACTATTCGATATCAACACACAATCCACTCACATCAAGATACTTAACGCAGAACATGTTCAAGTGCCTCTTTGCAGATAGAACCATGAAATATGCAGACAAAGTGCTTGAATTTGCCACAAAGTACTGGTCTGAGGTTCTGGACATAGAAAGCCAGCTGTGCTTTATATGGTTCCACTATGCATGCGAGAGATTTCCGTCTGAGAAAGAACTTCTTAAAGATCTATATAATGGCATTCAGAACATAGATGACATGCACAGCTGGTATGGATTTTTAAACCTTTCGCGTGCAGATTATTGCCGAATAGTCTCAGTTCTGGACAGCCTTTCCTTGGATACGCCTGAGCTAGCAAAAGAATCTTTTAATTTCCAACAAATATATGGCAGCTGTCTCTATTACTGTTCTGTCTCATGAAAACATTAAATATTTATGTGATGCATATCTTGGCACTCTGCGTATAAATAGCCTATGTATTTACTTGTGTGGCTTAATAGAAGCGTTTATATATTTCCTAAAACTATTTAAGAATATATTAACCGACATAGTGATAACCCGAATTTGCTAAGCCTATACTTGCACCTTGAAATGCATGAATATAGTACCTAGAAAGTATTCTAGACAGAAAACTATAGAATTTTAAGGTTAAAGAATAAATCTCAGATGCTGTTTATTTGAGGCTATAGATATAGTATGGCGCAGTGATAGCGCACTGCTAGTATGTCTAGAAATGCATAGTCAAGCTATAAGTGTTTAAAGAAGATCTACAAAAGCAGCATATGTTGTGCATATATTCACTAAATATTTAGACAGCCTTTACATGGATCGTGCAGTATTATTATTTCTGCCCTCTTTCTCTGTTGGCAGCTGCTTTTTTCTGTAGGCTTAATTTCTCTTTCTCTTACACTTTTTGCTCTTCTTGCCAAAAAATACATCACAAATCTTCTTTGCTGGAATAAAAGCCCTTGCTTCTCTACTTCATCCTGCAAGCCACATATTAATGTGCTTTTTGTGCATGTCCTTTCGATACTTGGATTATATTATTTAGTTTAGTAATGAATTCATTAGCATCTATTATACTTGAGATATGAGCTCATTTATCCTAATCTAGTTTCATTCTCTTCTATCTTGCATGTGGTGATATTTTCCTTCTCTTAAATTAACATTGTCTCATCTGCATTGTAGATAGCTATTTATTGACTCTCTTTATATATTTATGCGCCACATAAAAAGTATACTTGATCTTATAACCTGAATATAACCTGACTATCTAGATAAGCACTCAATTACTGAGGCATGAGTTCTTACAGTCCAAATATCCAGGCATTTTCACATTCAGGGTGCTGTCTGGGGCTTAAGCATACTTGCATGGAAAGCTGCTTATAGCATACCCAATCACAGGAAGGATAATATTATCGTTCATCTTTGACTTGTACTCAGCCATCCCAAGCACCATATACATCCATAGAGGATAGTGTATACCAAGACAGCATAGAGTTACCTTTGCAGCAATTGCCCCCACCATAGCCCCTATCATGCTCTTGTGTGTGTTTTGTGACTTCTTGAAGAAGCATGCAACTGAATCTATTATGCCAACTCCTGAGAGAATGAAGAGCATTCTGTTCCTGTCTTCCTGCACCCCGCCAATAACACAAATAAACGAGGAAAGTAGTATAATGTGTGAGGTAACTTCTTTCTCATCCTTCTCTGAGGTGAGCAGAGAAAAGATTTCTTTCTCACTTGTCTTGAATATATGCCCAAACATCTGAATAATTCTGGAAGCCAGCTGGAAAAGGAAAAGAATACACACCAGGTGCACCATGACTATCTCTGAAGGGAAAAGATAGCAATAGAAAAAAAGTATATAGTGAAAGGCTTTTCTCTTGACGTTAAGTGAAGCCCGGGAATAAACCAGAAGACACAGTAGGCACAGAGAAAGAGATATATACGCTGTACACTGTGCCCACAGCATCAGCCCATTCTCTTTCTTTACGTCCTTTATAAGGGCTTTTATCCCATACATTGCTACCTGGCGGAGTGCAGTGACAAATGGGATTTCCAGATTTCGGGTTCCTATGGCAAAAAACAACTCAGCCTGGATCTGTGTCTTTTGCAGAAGCCAATATATAGACCCTATTCCAACAAGCACCTCATCTCTTGAGTGGCTCTTTGTGTATATGTGTGCAAGAAACCCGCATATGTAAAGGTAGCTTATGTGGTATAGCACTCCTTCATTGCACTGTGCCAGCTGTATCCACATTATAGCAACCGCAATCTGGTCAAATACAGATCTTTCCTCCACATGCGATCCGCAAGTCTTTTTATTCCTTGTATGTTTTTGTGCGGGTGCGCTCTTCTGAAACATAGGTTTTACTGCAAAATAAATAAGAAAATGAGTACTTGTGCAATGAACAAAAAAGACCTTTTATCAAGCACAGTCTGTCTTGTTTTCTTATTTGGAACTTCTCTTAGCATGAGCTTCTTCACCTCGTACTTTCTTTCTGTCAACGGATACAACTTTAAATTTCCCTTCTTTTATTTTTCTATCCATCAGCTTACACACTTTGCTCTTGCAGCACTTAGCATCTGGTACTTCAAAAAGCCAATTCTCCACGAGCCTGCAATAGAGTCCCCGCTTCCCTACATAACAAGAGAAAAGATCGGATCGCCTGTAGAGAGACTGTACAAAAAAGAACCCTTAGAAGAGGGGCGCCTTGAGCACACTGCATCAATAGATAACATACTCTTTCCAGTCTACCAGTTCCTTAATAGCATTGGAGTATTTAACATATGGATTATTATATGCTGTCTTATTGGATCAATAGACACAGGCATGTCAGGGTTTGCGCTGCGCAAGATTTCGCTTCCCTTTTATACAATGCTGAAGTCCACAACGCCCATCTTCATTCTCTTTGCGCGGTTTGTCTTTCAGCTTGAGCAGCCAACAGTTGCGCCAATTGCAATTATTGTGACAATTGCATCGGGAATATCCCTTGCAGCAAAAAGTGACACAATTCAGTTTAACGCAAAGTATGCACTCTTGGTGCTTGGCTCGTGCTTTATGGCGGGTTTTCGATGGGGCTTCTTAGAGTATTTTATAAAGCGCAGTGCGCAGAAAAACAACAGTATACTGCACAGTATTTCAGTGCTCTCTCTTCTCTCAGGGGGCTTTCTTTTTCTAGGCTTCGTTTTATTTGAGGGAGTCCTTCCGTTTATTGCTTCTGACAAGTTCGAAACTGTCCTTTCCGCATGCACCTGCCTTTCCTTGATCATACTCACGGGGATAGCAGGGTTTGCCTCCTGCTTGGCTGAGTTTCTGCTTATCTCCAAGACAAATGTAATGGTCTCTTCTATTGTGATGATTGTCAAGGAGATAGCCATTCTGTGCATTTCTGTGAAAAGAAAGACGCTTGTTCTATCCAATATAAATATTCTGGGGATGGGCATCTCAATTGTGGGCATCCTTCTTTTTACGTTCCGGCCAATCCTTTTCCCTGCAAAGAAGTCCGTGAAAGCTACTTATCAGACTGAGGGACTGTCAATAGCCAAGGATTATATACAGAAACCTGTTTCATCTACAGAGAAAACTCCTGTCATGGCGCAGGCATAGCGAACTATTCTGATTGTGCCAATTAAATTGCTCACTTTAGGAACGGCCTTTAATCATTGGCTTTATTGCAATTGCTACATGCATTAGCTGTTGCAAGCCAATCTGCGCTTTAGTCAATGAGTCTATCTAAACCTTTGGCTATTGATGGATATTGAATAAAAACAGACTTCTTATGATCAAAACAATACAGTATAGAGGCTCTTGCATGTACATCAAGTAAAAATTGCATGATTTCTTTTCTTTTGAGCATAGTATACTCATTCAGATTACATCTTGCTGTGTATGTTTATTTTGTTAGCATAGCCTTTCTTTTCTTGCACTTTTATTTTCCTGTCTTTGTGCTCTAGTGGTTATTAGCACTCTCTACTGCAGTCAGTACATAAATCTATTTAGCATAAATCACCAGAGAATATAAAGATATGCACGGAATGAGTGCACGCCAGGCGAAGAAGGAGGATACCCAAGCACATTAGATATTGCACACCCAGGCTTCAAAAGAATATCACTTATAATTTGCAGAAGTAAAAGCCAGAACAGCCCAAACAGAAATGGCCAAAACCCGTGTGCACCACATTCGTAATTTGCTTTATTTATATCCGAACGTGCCACAGCTCAATTCTACTAATATTAAACCTCGTGGAATGGCTGAGTATCTCATTGCTAAAGGTCTCCACTTTGTTTGACTCTCCGTGCAGGAGAGACCGGTCCAGCTGAAGGCCAAACTTGCCTCCTCCGCAGCCAAACGCCAAGTAGTCTCTTTTCCCTATAATATACATGCACCTGTCCTCGATGTTCTTGCACGGCGTATTGTATACCTGAAGTATTGCATTCGCGCACGAGCTGATATCCTGGCCTCTTGGCGTCTTAAATCGGAACAGCGCTGTGCTCTGTGTTCCATACGAAATATTTTTGTACTTGAGCTGCTCGCAGAAGATCGCCCCAAAGACCCGCTCGTACTCATCGTGCGTACAGACGTTCTCTATTATAGAGAGAATAAAGCACCCGCGTGGTGGCCCTTTCGTTGCATTTGATATTAAAGTGTTCAGCGAGTACCCGTGCAGCTCAGATGAGTACACCAGCGACCAACCACTTGCTCCTGGTGCAAGCGTATTTATAATCCCTACCCGCAGCTTCTGTATCATGTTCTGCGTCATGGTGAACGATCGAACTGCCTCGTTTTTGTACGTGAGATATCTTTTCTGGATGAGTGCTTGCTCTGCACTCCCTGCGCCGCTATCTATGACTTCGAGCAGGTTGCTGCAGTTTTTGTTCTCTCGATCTTCTTTCATTTTGTTTTTTGTAAAATGCTTTCTTTTCTTTATTTACAATTCAATTGATTATAAATTCAGAATCTCTTTTGTTACGGATCTGGAAAAATCTTCCTTTGATAAAGAATATCCATCTGGAACAAACTCCCAAGCAGGCACCTGCTTTCCAAGTACGGCGGTTGCAATCTGCCCAAGATAGCACGCTGAAATCATGTACTCCTTCTTTTTACTGTCTTTGTCCATTCTAATTATTGAGTTATAAATATCCATGTTTCTCTTACCCTCGTCAATTATACGATTCACATACATGTCCATGACAAGGAAATAGAACATGTCAAAGACAAGCTCGCACTCCATGGCAGACAGCCGTCCCTTAAAGAAGCCCTCAATTCCTTGGTTCACATCTGTGCTGTTCTTAAACCCATCCGAGAGCCCTGCCTTCCTGTACGTATGGTTGAGCATGCTGCATATTTCTGCCCCTATGTCCTTGAACCCAAAGAGGAAGGGGTTTGCCTTCTTCTCCTTCAAAAAGTAACTTACCAGCTCTGGCAGATCCATTGCAACTTCGCCATCATCGATCATATCCTGCGGGATAATCCTGTCTGGGTAGCCCATAAAGTACACTGCGCCTTTTTCAACCACCTCTTTCTGGGCTTTTTCATCTAAAATGTTTAACTTTTTCTTTGCACTCATTTCATTCTTGACAAGAGTCAGCATGTGCACATAGCCCTTCTTAAATACATTTATATTTTCTTCAATTGCCTCCTCCTTTCTTACCAAAATTCTTTTAATATTCAGAATTGATCCAAACAAGGCCAGTCCTATAAGAACAATGTGAACAATTGCTTCTATTTTCCTTTTGCTTGCTGTTCTGTTCTTCTCTCCGGACATGGGATTATGCAGAAAATAAAAGTTTAAAATCTTTTGGGGTTTTCCTCTCTGGCTGCGCCCTGCTGCACAGGCTGGATACTCTCATTCCCACACTCTGTACACACTACATCCTTAACACGAAGGCATCTGGGGTCAAATAACCCGAAGTTTGTGCAGATGAGAACTCCATTAGTCACGCAGATGCACTTTTACAAGAATGCGGATATGGTATATTACTATACACAGAATAGCACGTAATGCAGGTTGAGCAGAAACCCGCCTCTCCATATAATAGCATAATTCAAATAATATAACCCGACTGTTTATTTATGATGAGAACAGACGCACTTTGTTTACTTTACTAAATAGAGCCTTCCCAGAGAAAGGCATGCACATGCACGCTCTATCCTCACTCTTTACCATGCTCTGAGCAGTACTCTTCTAGCTTACTCTCTTAGCAGATGTCTCTATGCACTCTGTGTGTGCGGCTGGGTGCAGGATACCGCCTCCAGTCAATATAAAGCTCTTCTGTTATCAATTCGATCGATATAAACCAGAATCATTCCTCAATAGACCTTTTATTTAACCTTACCTTCTGATATCTGCTACGTGTGTTTAACAGCTTTATATCTGTTGTGCTTTTGTATTATCTGAATTAAAGACCTTTAATAAGATCCTTCTTGCTCTTAATATGCTTTAAGATTTTGGCCAAGTTCTCCTCGTCATTTTCAGCAGAGTTTGCAAGCTTTGATGTGAACAGTGTGAACACAATTGGGTTTCTCTGGCTCTTAACTGTGTCTGTGCCAACTTCCTCGGTTGGTGAGAGGTTCTTTGCCATTCCGTAGGCAACTGCAGATCCAATTGCTGAGATCTTGGAGGATCCCTTCTGCTGGATTTCAGCCAAAGGCTTAATGTTCTCATCTACCTCCAGGTCGAAAGAAGAGTTGTACTCCAGATCGTTTAAGTCAAGGCACAGGTAGACAATAGTGTTTAGCATGGTTGAGTATCCGTATGAGAAGTATGGGTAGAGTACTCCGCTGGTGGCCTGTGTAAAGAATTTCTCAGAGAGGATTCTGCTGAACTCCTTCTTATCCTCAATCTCGTAAAGGCTGTTCTTCTTAAGGAATCTGTCTAAGTCCTCATTATCATCTAGATACTGGTTGAACTTGTCATCACCAACGTGTCCACTCTTAATTATTGTGTAGATTATGTCTGCAAGTCCATCAACTGCCTTCTCTGAGGGGTTCACACCATCGTATGCAAAACTGCTGTTACTGAACATGTTCTCAACAAAATCAATCATCTTTATAGTGACACTTCTCATAAGTTCCCTCTGTTCATCGGTCTTTAGTCCATTGAAGTGTTTCTCAAAGGTCTTCTTAAGCAGGTCTGTTCCCTCCCAGTTATCTGGGTTGTAGAACATAACTTGGTTAACAATCTTGTTGTACTTTCCAATAACGTCCTTGCTGAACTTTGTCTCGTTTGCCTTTGCCTCTGCACTTACAATGCTCTTTCTGAACCCAAGGAATAGATCTATGTTTGGGTATGCAAATGTAAGATGATTTGCAATGAACCGTGGCAGATGGATTGGATATGAGTCTTTTATGTATGACTCCATAAGCTCCTTCATATCTTCCTGTCCCTTCACTACGTTGAACTTGTCCATTTTCTCCTTTAGAGCAGACTCGTCTGCTCCCTCCACTCTCCATGAGTAGAAAAGGGTTCCCATGGTCTTCTCGTCTACCATAAAGAACTTGAAGTACACTGTGCATATAACATATGCTATCACTGCCACCACTGCGGCTGCACTGCATCCTGTGTAGATTAATTTTTTTGTCTCTTTTGCTCTCACTCTCTGCGTCTGTGTTTGTGTTTGCATTTGCTAGGGGATGAAAAAATATTTTCTATTTATTTATTTAAAACTGCACTCAACCCCTTAATATTTGGTTTTTTGTCATAAGTCCTGGCTGTTCCTGCACTTTCTTGCAGTTCTCCTTAAACTGCACAAATACATTATTTGGATCTATCTTTCTGCGCGAATAAATATTTTACTTCTAAATTAGGAAATATTTGTTTTAATTGGTTTTTCACTTTTCTGGAAATTTGTATGGTTTTTATTCGCAGATAGGCCAGAACTTTTGGGCTGAAAACGTATTTTGCCTGCACACAGCTATTGGTTTATTTTTTTCGCTCAAAAATGCATTGTTTTAAAAGTACTTTTTGTGTAAACTGCACTTTATTCCTTTTAGAGCACATCTGGGTAGAAGAACCTATTTGCACGACTACTTAGTCAGGCTGAATAGCTTTTTGTTGCACATACAGTATTTATTTGCTGTATGACTATGTGCACCGTAGTATTATATGTTCACTTAGGCCATATGCACATACATGCACATGCATCCACATGTCAACTCCAAAAGAAGTTTTTCTCTCTTTAGCACTGCTGTATGCACAGTTAAAACAACTTCTAAATATATACTGAAAATAAAGATGTAATATCACTATGATCTATAAAGACTTCAAATGGCTACTAACCACACAAGAGCACACTCTCAGTGCACATTCCATTATATTCTGGTTATATTCCATTATATTCTGGGTTATACTCTGGTTATATTCTAGTTATATTCCATTATATTCTGGTTATATTCTAGTTATATTCCATTATATTCTGGTTATATCTGGTTATATCTGGTTATATTCTGGTTATATTTAGTATATTCAAGTTATATTTATTTAATTTAAGACACATGCCATATAAAGATGTAGCCAGAATAAGCTGTTCTTTCTATCAACTTAATTTGGCTATCTCAAAAACACTGCAACTGCCCCTCACATGCACTTATTTTGTGCTTTCAGTCTGTCTGGCCTACTTCACTCTGTGTAGTCAAACAGGGTTCTGCAGTACTTCTGGGTAGATTGCCGTGTCTCTGCAGTCCTTTTCACTGCAGGCAGCTCTGAGAATGCTTTTATTTTCTCAATTATCTCTGGGGATATTCTTACTAAATCCTTTGCTTTCTCCTGCTCCTTTTCAATCTCCTCTATTTTACTGTACATATCGTGCAAATTCGGTATTTTGCTCTCTTTCTTTAGGAAGTGCCCAAGGGTTTCCTTCACTGCAGCAAGATGCTCCTTCTGCTCGTTCTTTGTGTGCGACTTTTCAGCCTGCTTTATCTCCGAAAACGCATCTAAAGGCATCTAAACCCATAATATCACATTTCTCTATTTTATATTCGTGCTTTACCAAGGGGCAATGGGTGCCCAATTAGAAGACATCATGAGTTTTATTCGAAGTGCACTAATTTGGCTAATCCAGGACAGAAACATGAATATTTCGCAAATATCCCTCCTTCCCATTCTGTTTATATGTATTCCCTGCGATGTCTACTCAATAAGCCTGGCAGTATCAATTTCCACTCTTATTATTTTTCCATGCGGATTTCTTGAAATATTCTCGCTCATCCTTCTGTTCTGCATGTACTCTGAACAGATTCTCTTGCATGCTGAGCTAATCTACAGTGTCTACCTGTGGCCTGCCATTGGGATATACATTGTTTACATATCAATTGTAGCTGCTTTAAATGGCCTCTTAAATCTAGCAGTTGTCAAGCCAATTAAGTACATCCTTAAAGGAGAAATCCCAATCTCAAATGATGCTGAAAACCCAAAGACACTTGAAGAGGCTCTCTCAACCTTTTTGCTGGTTGATATCCCACAGACTGCAGCTGCAGATCTCAATAGCGGCAAGTACGTGCGCCTTGATAAAAATACATCTAAACAGAAAAAAGAAAGCACCAATGCAGAACCCTCTAACTCACCCAGTTATAATAATCCCCCAGGGGCAACTGTAATCGAATGCAGGAAAAATTCACATAGTGTAGAAATGAAAATGTGTCTTGATTTACTTAAAGAAAAGAGGAGTACCACCAGCCTAATCACATCACGGAATACAAAGATAATGCACAAGAAGACATCCTGGAGGGGCGTATCCTTTAGATATATTCGGATAGCAATACTAACTTTGTTTTTTCTATGTAAAATGGTTTGCATCCTCTTTTTGTACATAGTGATGCTTTCTTCTGAGCACCGCAGTCAGCTACTCTTAAAGTATGCTGCATTTATGCCTGTGTTCCTGTTCTGCACACTCGAAGTGAATTTCTACTCAATTGACAGGCCCACAAGGAACTATACCCATCTGTTTACAATTCTTCTGATATATCTTGTTGTTTGTGGGTCATTTGAGTATAACACAGTCCCTATTGACTACTCCTTCTGCAAGAACTCTCTTGTCCCAGAGTCATGGAAGATTCTCAAGCTGCTCTGCAGTGCTAAAGACCTATTCCCAATGACTGCCACCATTATGAACACAATGTAAATGCCCTTCATATAAAAAGAACCCCTATTATATTCGGGTGCATACACGTGGCTTCTGTACTTTACATAAAAATGTCACATACTATTTTACTACAAAACTTTCTTTTCTTGTTTATTATGATGAAGCCAGCAGAAGAAATAGAACGAAGATTCAATGCAATTGAAGACGCATACTTACAGATTAGCAAGCTGCAGGAGGCAATTCCTGCATACCTAAACGAAGAATCTGACGTGATTGTTCCAGATCCACAGGAGCTGAACATTTCACACCCGCCCTCAGCGAAGGAAAGAGGCTGCATGCACAGTCTCTTTGCGAAGAAAAAAGTAAAGGATGCAAAAGTGGAAAAACCCAGGGAGGAACCCGAGGAGCCTGAGGACTGGGACACAAAGGAGGAAGTGGCTGGCCGGTTTGACGAACAAGGAAACTTTATTGTAGAGGAGGCACCGGCAGCAGATGAGCCTGCAGCAGCCGATGAGTGGATTACCGTTGAGCAGAAGACAAAGAAGAAGAAGCAGAAAGAAAAGGAGGAACAGGTGACCTACACCGCAGTGCACCAGCAAGAGCAGTTCAAAGAACAAAAGCCTATTAAAAAGACAGTGTGTAAGGAAGAAGTTGACTCTGATAGCGATGGGTTTACAGTAGTGCATGATAAGAAGGGAAAGAAAAACAAAAAGCCATTAAAATAAACCACACTGATGTTTACACGACTAGTTAATTCTGTGCACACTTGTACGCACTATACTATACACTATATTAGAACTCGGGTTATTCGGGTATTATGCTACTGTGGAGTACCCGTATAAGACTTGCAGTTTATCACTTAGATGGCTGCTTCCTATTTAATTTACTGCACCACATGGAGCAGCAAGAAGACCTGCCTATTTATGCGTATATGGTGTATTTTTCCATACTAATTACTGCAGTGTATTAATATCGTATGCTATGGTATGCTGAGATGGTGCTTGCAAATAAATATCTTTGTGTTAAATGTAGAAAGAATTAGCTACTTCTCTTTAAGAAGAAACTTAATCTGTCTCTAATCTAAGTAGAGTTTTAGATAATGCAGGTACCTTTAAGATATACAGTGCATATTTATGCGTCTAGTCTAATTATTTATATTATTTTTACTCATTCAGATTACATCTTGCTATGTATGTCTGTTTGTTAGCATAGCCTTTCTTTTCTTGCACTTTTATTTTCCTGTCTCTGTGCTCTAGTGGTTAGTGGTTACTAGCACTCTCTATACTGCAGTACATAAATATATTTAGCATAAATCACGAGAGAATATAAAGATATGTCGGAAGAAGTACATGACAGGCGAAGAATTAGCACTATTCTATGTGTTTCTTCTGTTCTTGCTGAAAATATCGCCTAAATTGCTTTGTTCTAGATGTGTAACTGCACTCTCATTCAATCTGCCTAATTGACTCTATTTATTCAGGGTGTTTTTCTTGATTGTATTCTTAATGCTCTTTGGTTATTCCGTATACAGTCTATCTGGTTATTCCGTATACAGTCTATCTCTTTATGCATCTATTTTTATTTTTGACTGTAAACTCTTCATTTCTACTGAGAATGTATACGTATTGAAATAAAACTTCTTCTGTAAAATAAACAAAATATAAAGTACGCCTGAATATTATAAAATAAGCTAGGATATACATATATAAAGGCAGAAAGTATTATGGAAACAGTATACATGCATTTTACCACACAGGTCCTTATTTACTTAGTTATTTACTTAAGGAAAGCTCCCACTCTTTCAGCAGTTTTAAAGTAAATATCCTTCTTCTTAGTGTGCAATAACTTGCCGGTGCATCTGTATATATGAGAATAAAACATCTTACTGAGGTATTTAATCATGTAAATACATAATTTTGTCAGACACTACAGACAGAATAGATACTACAGACAGAACAAAAAGAATAATTACAATTAATAGATGCACCAGAGACTTTAACAAAGAATAAAAGTACAGAGCATGCATAGTGCACAGTTAACTATCTTTAGTGAAACAGAGTAAAAATCATTTGAAATATAGTATAACCTAAATCACTAGAGAACAGAGGTTACAGTACAGATTCATAAAGAGGACACCCGCATACAGTTGAACAAACTGGAATATCCAGAATTCGGGTTATATCCAGAATAAAAATCAGCTAAAAAATGAAATAGAACTAAATAGCCCAGTGGATTACACAACACACCAGGCATTGCAAAAAAGTAAGCAAAACCCATGCGTAATATATACACTTTTCACAGAAAAGAATTTGCTGCAGATCATTTCTACTAAATATTTCTCTACTGCAGGCGGGTTTTCTTGAAATTTTATTTATTTATTTAATTATTTTTACCCCATGCAAATAACATCACGACAAACTAACCACTTTTTGTTTATATTGCCTTTCTCAATGAGGATAATCGCGTTTGTCTGATTCCATGAGGAGAAACAATGCTACCTAAAACATATCTGAGAGACTCAATTGTTAATATTTTATGTTATAATTTCTTGTTTTTTTAATTTTAATGCACGATTTGAAAGAGTACGGCGAAGAGCAGCTGCTAGAGCTGTCGCATCTGCTTCAGATGGAAATAAGCGAAAAAACAGACCCATCAGAAATAGCAGCAAAGTTAACAGAAGATGTTATTGAATCAGTTGAGAAAACAAACATAGCAGAAAAAGCAGAGTCTCTAGGGGGAAGTAAAATTAGGAGCATTCGCGTTGTATATTCCTTAGTGATCACAGCCCTCTACGACAAAATAGTTAAGAACCACCCAGAAAGGATTGTTGAAATATTTCCGTACATAGAAGGACGGATCCGTGATAAAGACAGGCGAATTAGGCAGCATGTAGTTTCATTTGTCTTCAGGAATGTGACGGCTTTAACAAGTGAAAATATAAACCTGCATATTATAACGAAAACCATTATAGACCTTCTGAAGAACAGAAATAAGCAAGTGAGGTTCTTCTATTTGAAGATGATTTCATCAAATACAAATGCATTTGCGGAGATGATGTCTCTAAGAGACGTAAAGTATCTGGTGAACACACTGGCTTTGCTATGCGAGTGCTACCAGCAGGAAAAAAGACCTATTGCAGGGCTCATGCGAAGGGCAGTTGCAATATGCGCACGGCTGAAGTATTTAGGGAAGCTGCAGCTTATTGGGATGTTTCCACTCTTTGAGGCTTGCGACTTCTCGTCTGCAGAGATCCTTCCGTTCGTACAGAAGTTGTATAAGAGATGCGAAAAGGAGCTTGTGAATACAGGATTTATTCGGACACTGGAGGAGCACAGAGAGAGAAATAAGCACGGGCACATATACAGAAACCTTCTTCTGCTGCTGCAGCACGGACTAAACCAAAAGCTAAGTATATTCGAGAAATACAGTGCTGATGTATACAGCATAGATGTGGAGGAGACACGGCTGCACATCTTCAAACTCTTAAGAGAGTCAAAGTACAACACAAACCCTTCCTTATTTCTGTCAGATGTAAAGAACATGTTTAATGTCCTGCCAGAGCGAAAGTCCCCAGATCTGTGCGAAATTCTTCTTGCTGCTTACTTTGCATACGTGCAGGAGGGTCTTGTTTCTCTGGGGGAGTTCAAAGACAAAGTTATGTACACGTTCAAAACGGAGAAGCATTCAAAGCAAGGAATTCTCTCCTTCTTGGACTCTCTTGTAAAGACTGTGCAGATGAAGAACCCGCAGCAGCCCAGTAATAGTACTCTAGGAGCAGGACCATCCACTCTAAATCCATCAAATATCTCAACTGCCCCTATTACTGCTTCTTTAAACAACCAATCTGAAGTATTTTCTCTTCAGAGCATAAATCTAACACAAAGTGATCTACTGCAAGAAGAAGGCGGCCTGCAGATAAACAGAGAGGGTGATATGAATACGAATGAGAACTACAGTGACCTAAACAAGAGTAAAGAGGTCATAGAGAAGAGACCCTCCAGTGAGGTAAGTGCAGAGCTGGCGCAGACTCTGTTCTCGCTCATAAAAGAAATTCTTCATCATCTGGTGGAGCACAAAGAAGAAGAGCTTGAACTATTCCTGAACTATTTCAATCCATTTGAATACAGCACAGGCCTGCCGCTCTACTCAATCACGAACACAGTTACGTTTTACTGCGTGCTTTGGTACGTCCACACGATTCAGCCACAGAGCACACTGCCAGATCCATGCGCACCTACCTCTGTGCAGATACAGAAGATCACGCACTGTGACTTTGACATTTCGCTTGAGTTTTATTCCGTGCTGTACATTCTTGCAGAAACATCCAGCCAGTTCATGAGCACTCTTAAAGACGAGATGTTTGTGCAGATTTCAGTGTACATAGAGAGTGCTTTGAGCAGTATCCGTGGCTCAAGAGACTATCTCCTCTCAAACTACAACGAATTATCGTACTCAATTGATGGGCTGATTTCCCAGCTGGACAAAAAGAACTGCACGCAAGAGGCAACACAGCAGATACTCAAACATAATATTTCCTCAGTCGTATCCCTTCTTCTGTACCTCTTGAATGCACCGAACACCCAGAGGAGCATGCAGGCCATCAAAGAGTACGCATGCACAGTGCAAATCAAGCCAGCAGACATTGAAATAGCCAAGAAGTACGGAATTATCTCAGCAAAAACAATGCGCAAGTTTGAGAAGTTCATGAGCATGACAAACAAAGAAACAAAAGCATCTGCAGCTGAAATAGACCTATCCTCTGTTACAGAGCACTCCATATCAACCAATCTGGACACAAATATTATAGAAGGAATGTCCAAGATAGATGATAATAAATAGGAATAAACCCGAATTGCTTCTACGTTTTATTGTTTAGTAGGATGGCTTTACTTTGAACTTACATCCAAGAGTCAGTTTTGCCTTTCCACCAGATGGCTTGGCAAGGATTGTACTGCATGCGTGGCATGATATAACAGTTTGGGAGTGTGAGAAGATTACAACTTTCTTTTCGCATTCACTGCACTTTACATCCATATAATATGAGTTTGGGGTTGGTATTAGGCGCTTCTTCTTGCATGTTCTCTGAACAGTCTCTGGTGACGGATACTTTAATGACTCCATAATTGCAAGGGAAGTAAAAATAAAATTTAAATAGAAAAATTGCAAAGAATTCAGCAAAACAAGCATACACTGCAGTGTGCTTGTAGTAAGAATCCCACTTTCATTGATTACGTGACCAAAGTGCACCAATGAGAAATGGCACTTCGGGTTATATCGGGTTATATCAGTGACTGACTATAAAATAGTAAGATAGTAAGAACAATACTGAAAAACCGGAAGATGTCAGAAAGAAGAAGTACACTCATTAAGTATACAAAAGGTGACAGTCACCAACCGAAAAAATATGAGAATAAACCTTCCTTGACAACTACCCCTATTAGAGTCTAAAATACTATTATCTCCAGACTAGCTCGTTGCCCCCTTTCGGGCATGTCAACTATAATATACAGAGCACTAGAGATCTGTGAAATTGCAGCACAGAAAGTCTGAAAAGTAAATTTAAAAGAGAGCAAATAAATATCCCACTGAAGTAGTATACAGAGATACAGAGATACAGTGTATACTAAAGAACATGATTTTCAGTTATATTTATATGCATATTTGGATAGAAATGTATGGAAATATCACCACATAGAACAAAACAATATTCATGTTCTTCCTTACGGGTGCTATAGTACTTCTGTCTTTGACTGCTAGCCAGAAGACTAAAAACCATACACTCTACTGACCAAAGAAAACAAACTTAACCGCATGGAAATCTCATATTTAAACATCTATTGATGTTGTCAGTGGCTCTCTACTGCTAGTAATACTACTACTAGTAATTCTAAATATATTTTCATCTTTAGTTTTCTTAGTTGATAACATCTATTAATAATGTCTTCATTCAATTAAGCTTGGGTATAGTATAACAGCAGTGCACTGAATTCGGGTTATATTTTACATGAAACTTTTACAGATGCTTCAATAACCAAAGATAACTCAATAATAACGGAATTTCCCAACAGACTTAATTGTATTAATTAATAGTTAAATATAAGATTACATAAATATATTTTAACTTAAAAATTCTAGATAATCTGATAACAGAAATTAAATGAACTACAAGAGAAAATAAGCATGCAATAATACCAATTTTATTCAATTCCCTCTCTTTATTACTTTCTGAATATTTTAGTCTAGGTAGTTACTATATGCATTTAGTCTCCATGCTATAATAGCCCGATAACCCTCCATAGAATCAGAGCATCTTCTGGTTTGCAGCTAGTCAGAATATAAAAATATAATACACTGCTATATGCAACAGAGTATGATATTTTGGTCTTGCAGCAGGCCCAGATAAATATACCCAAATATGCCCAAATATACCCAAATATACTCGAATTCTTAGACTACTCTGTTACCACTATTTTTGCCTGTGCCCCATACGTCTTTGCACGAACTCTTTTATTTTGCACTCTTCCTACAACTGCAGTAATAATGCCTGCAATTATTTCAGCTTTGTCTGCCAGCCTGTCAGCTGGCAATTCTTCGTTTATTCGTATATGCACCTCTCCATTCTCCTGGGCTGTCTGCAGGGTGCACTCAAAGTACTCATCTAGCACCTGGGATGTATAGCACACCAAAGAGACAGTCTCTTCTGGCAGGGCCTTCAGTGCCATCTCCTCAGCTATTTTTGTTCCTATTGATGCCCCAAAGGCAAATAAGCTCTTTTTGTCTCCTGCTATTTCTTCCAAAATAGACTGAAGAAGCCAATAAGACGTACTTTTCATTTGGATGGATTTAATTTTCTTTACTGAAATTTATAAATGCTCCTTAGAGTTGGGCTGCAGCAATGTTACGACGAAAATTGCTTTAACAATCAAAAAGAAGGAGTGATTACAACGGAGGAACTATATGTGCAACCTAGCAAAACATACTGCAACAAGTGCATCGATGGCGGTTTAGATTATGTCTACACAAGTGATATTATGTTTAACAAAGAAGGGGTCTGGCAAAGCAATCTTAAGCTAAACATAGGCGAATTAGTGGAAGACTCGCTGATTCTGCGGAAAATCAAAAGAAGAGGATTTATTCAGAATGGTGCATCGTATTACGGACTGTTTTCCAAGAAGGAGTACAGCCCGAATGAGATTGTTGGCTTTATAGGGGGTGCAATTAGCAACATAAACATGGTGGGGACAGGAAATGCAAGAAAAGCAAAAAGTCCTAGTAGATGTTTTATATTTAGAGACTGCGGGCTAGTGATTGACTCCAGGAAAAGTGGTAATCTGGTGCGCTTTATTCGTCGTTCTTGCCGGCCCAATGTTGCAATATCCTTGGAGGTTTGCGAGGAGGGATGGAAGGGTCATCCGCCTCTAAAGAAGAATCCTTTTTTGGTGACAGCAATCCGTGCAAAGCTCTATGCGCTTTCCAGAATTGAGAGTGCTCAGGAGCTGTTCATAGGGAACGACTATTCATCGCATGCCAGCGAGGAATGGATGTCCACAGAGCTTGATGTAACGGGTGATGATCTTGTAGATTCTTGCTCCTGCAACTCCAAGTGGAGCTGCTTCTTCAGGAATAAGCTGCCGCAGGAGAAGACCAAGCAAGTGAAAATCAAGTCAAAAATATCCCCAATTTTTGTGAGAATGAAGAAGTACACAAAAGAGAAGGTTCCATTCACACCGTCTGACATGGCGTACGTTCTCAACCGAAAGTGCACTTTCATTAAAAGTCCCTAGAGAAAGACAAGAATAAATCATAAAAATGCCTTGAAAGTGTATAAATATACCAGAAGACTTTTCTTTTCATGAATGCAGAGCAGAGAATTTTACAAGAGCGAGAGAATTGGAGAAAGGACAGACCATTCGGGTTTGTGGCTAAGCCGCAAATGAAGGCAGACAAGTCACTTGATCTTTTCAAGTGGAACTGCACCATACCAGGCCCAGAGAACTCACCCTTTGCAGGGCACAACCTATCAGCAACCGTGGAGTTCTTTACAACATACCCAGCAAACCCACCCCAAGTAAAGTTCACACAGCAAGTATTTCACCCAAATGTATATTCAGATGGATTCATCTGCCTGGATATTCTTGACTCAGAGTGGTCTCCTTCGCTGAATATTAAAACAATTTTGCTGGCAGTGCAGACCCTCCTGGGAGAAGCAAATGTTGAGTCACCTGCAAATGAGAAGGCAGCAATTATGTACACAAAGAAGCCTGCACTGTACACAAAAACAGCAAAAAAGCAGCTCACCAATAAGATTGCAATGTAGACCTAAATTCACGTAATATGGACATGTCTATATGAATAAGGCCTCTCCAATAGTAATATAACCATAATTATTCTGGATATGAACATATTTCTTAATTAAATCATATAATACCACGTGAATCTTCTTTAAAAAAGAAGAGTCTTTTCTATTTCGGGATATATTGCAGGTTTATAAATATGATGGAGAATGAAGAAGTATGCATATTTTGGAGAAGCGTATTTTCAGTGTTTTTATATTTTCATTTTTTATGGCCCTCGTTAAGGCTATGGAGTACCAAAGTGTTTTTACAAAGGACGATGTCATAAACACATTTTCAAGTATGGGCGTATCCAAAGGATTTTTAATTATTAGCTCACCCATATGCCCACCATGCAATGCATACAAGCAGGCACTGAACCAAGAGTATCTTGTAAGCCCAGAGGGATATGCGCACAGAAACAAATTCGTATGTGTCACAATGCCAGCAAACCAGCCAAACACGCCTCTTAGAGGACCAAATGGACTTATCACAACTCTTAATGTGCGGGGTGTTCCTGCCACATTCTTAGTGGATGTTAACCAAAGGTCCTTTTCGCCTGTAACTATAATGGCATACAGCAGAGATGGAATTAGAAATATGGTGGCACAGTACGAAGTATAATCTATTCGATAGAAATAGGTACATCTGCTGTTTCAATTGATAAATAAATATCTGTCAAGTCACTCTTTATACTTCTGTAATATTTTTACGTGCTTATATTCAATTGAACTATTAATTTTAGCAGCTGGAAAGTCTCTGGTTTATTTACTTGAAAATAAACAACTACTGCAAGGAATATATAAAAGTGTTTTTATGGATATTCTAAGCGATTGAATATTCTTCTGATTAAAGCACTAGATTGTTCATATAGCGTGAAAGTGTCTTATTATACGGCTTTTTAGTTAGTTTCTTGGATATTGATTTTTTCATTCTTTTTTGTACTTCTTGTATATTATGTAGTTGTATAGAAGCCTAGAGTGTAATTTTATAAATATCTGGAATTCGGGTTATATGAGAGATTCTGTCCATTAGAGAAACAGACCATGCGAATATTAATATAATCATAATTGTATAGATAGGCAGCAGTACCTGGGCATACTTTAATACAGCCAGGGCATTTCCTTATAAATGTGCATATTTTTGTGTTTATGCTAATTACTGCAGCAGGAGACTAACTGTTCATTTATACATATTTAACTATATAGAAGCAGTAGGCGTCTTGTAATAAGAACTATGGTAAAAATCCCACTTTCATTGATTCTGAAGCCACAAGAGTCGATCAATGATAATTTCACTTTCCAAAAGATTCCTCGTATATCAGAAGCCTACTCTACTAAATAGTAAGAACAATACTGAAAGGCGGAATATGTCAAAAGTAAGGAATACATCCAATAAAAATACAGAAGATGACAGTTACCAACCGAAAAAATATGATAATAAACTTCCTGGACAACTGCACTCTCTATTCTAGACTAAAATACTACTACCTCCAGACTAGCTCGTCGTCCCCTTTGGGCACGTCAAATTCGGGTTATATTTGAGTTTGCAAAGCCAAAATATTTGAAATAAGTGCGTCTTTGAACGGCCTGAATCAAGATATTTTAAAGTATTCTGGTTATTCTGGTAGCACGATTATCGCTGTGTATGGTTTAAATCTGATAAAATTTTTACTTGCATGGATGAACTGCCAGAACTCAACAGCAGAATAAATTCGGGTGTAAATATTAAAGAAGAAAAAAGAGCAGAAAAAAGCGCATTTGAGATATCAGTGGCCCCAATGGTTGGCATTTCAACCCCGGAGTACAGACAGTTCATGCGAATTATATCCCCAAACTCCTTGGTATTTACGGAAATGGTTGTAGACACATCTCTTATGTACATGAGCAGCTCTGTACTTGAAAGAAAAATAGGCCTGCCCACAGAGAAATGCGTGCTGCAAGTGGGTGGATCAAATCCAGGACAAATTGCATCTGCAGTGAAAAGGGCAGTTTCCCTGGGATATGCGAATTTCAACCTTAATTGCGGGTGTCCAAGTGACAGAGTGCAGAACGGCAGTTTTGGGGCTGTTCTCATGAAAGACCCATTTAGCATTGTGCGAATTCTCCAGGCAGTTTACGAAGAGACAGGAGTTGTAATGAGTGTCAAGTGCCGCACAGGTGTGGATGAAATTGAAGACTACGAGTCCTTTAGGAGAATGATCAGAATTATTGTAGAGAATACAGAGTGCAGGACATTCTATATTCATGCAAGAAAGTGCCTGCTGAAAGGCCTATCCCCAGCGGATAACAGAAGAATTCCTCCATTGAATTATCATTATGTCTTCCAGTTAAAGCAGGAAATGCCCCACTTAAAGATTGTTCTGAATGGAGGACTGCGTGATATACCCAGCATACAGGCCCTGGAAGGAAAGGTTGACGGTGTGATGCTGGGGCGTAAGCCCATGGATGATCCAATGTTTTTCGCAGAAATTGAAGAGAAAATACTTGGACAAAGAAAAATAACCACAATAGACGCAATAGCACTCTACCTGGAGGGACTTCCCAACAGATTAAAGTACAGAGAGAAATTCATGCAGATAGACACTCTAGCACCTTCTGCATACACAGTTCCAAATAAGCAGAGAGACCATGACCCAAATGTTCTTTCAAACGTAAGCGTACTTTTGTCTGGAGAGGTAGAGTATCTGTGCAGACATGTGGACTTAAAGCCAATAGAGCCAGTCCTGCATGGAAGGCGGGGGTGCAAGGAGTACAAAAGGGAGATAGCCAGAATTGCAAGAGAAAGGTGCCCAACAACATCTGTAGTGGCAAGCATACAAAGGTATTTTGTAGATCCGTGTGAAGAAAAAGAGTTATGTGGTCTTGCTGAAGAGAGCTAAAATTAGTGGCAATTTTACCACAACCATATAAATTTACAGTTCTATCCAAGACATGGTGTAATCTATCTTTCAGTGTGCTATTCCATGGTTAAAATATTCCTTGTGGTGGGCTATAAATTGAGGAAACTGTTTAATAAAGTCACATTCTAGATTTTTTTAATTTCCAGGATATTCTGGCTATGTGGGGATTTTAAGACAAAAATAATTTGGACTTTTGTGGTATGCCTTATAAAGCAATGGAGCCATTGTTCTGTTGCATTTCCACGTGTTTTCTGGATAGATTTGTGTACAACCAGAGTCAAACACCCAAACTAAACTGCATAATATTTAATTAGAAAATGCAAAATAGACAATACTATAAGATGCCTTAAATCTAACCTGAGCCAGAATATAACCCGAATAGAAGAGATCTCAGCATATATTTAACCTGCTAGTCTTTAAGTCTGCATTCAGGTTATTTAATCGTAAAATATATTTTATCTTCTGAAGACTCTGTATGAATGCATTCTGTGAAAGAAACTTATGAAAAGTAAATCTGTATAACCCTTCATTACGGAAATGCATGGTATACAGAACCCTCAAAAGATAAATTAATCTTCTGAATGTAAATATATTGTGAGTGAATTCTAGTTATTTTACTGTGGAAAGAATACAAGTTAAGGCAGGCACTAAAAATACATAAATACAAAAGAATATTTAAAGTGAATTTCACAGAACAGAAGATCCTCTAAGATCAGATGTAGATTAGTCTTTGGAGAACTTAATAAGATGCATCTCTTAAAGTAACTTATAAATTGCATAGATATACTTAGGGGTAATGATCTATTGTTCTCCTATTATATACATGATTATTTTGGACTGCACCATTGTAAAAACAAATTTAGCAAGGGATAGACAAAGCTGCTAGATACTTTAGTGGATGCATAGCCCTTGATTTATTGCACATTCGGGTTATATACGCAGTAGAGATATTACTACAATAGTGCTATGGGCGTATTGATGGGAAATTAGGGTCAGGAATTAATTAACTTTTAATTACTGGATATATAATAATTTAATTCTGCATAAAAGTACAATGTGGCTAGTAAGGTTTTTCTTTCTAGTAAACACAGCTTTGTGCTATTTTATAGACGAAAAGTATCGGGATGCCTCAGTGGATGTAGAGTTTATGGAGGATAAAATGAGAAATGTTTACATAAGCTTTGCAATTGATGGGTACATATACTCATCAGTTATACGTATGGAGAAGATACAAAGGCTGGGAAGAAATTCATTTACAACATACAATGCTGTATATACGAAAAAGCAAGAAAATATAGAAAAAAGCAGCCTGCCCTCTTTAAAAGAAGTCTTTGATGATGTGCACGGCTGGTTTATACGCGAAAATGCAACAGGGATGCTCAGTGGGGTGCTGGTTGACAACTCAAAAATAATTCACATAAAGCCAAAACAGTTTCTCTTCCCAGGCAGCTCACCAAGCGAACTAATCGCATTTGCAGCAGACACAGACTATCCAGAGTACATTTGCAAGCCTCTTGAGGATTCCCCTGAGATCTTGGCATTTGATGAGCCTTTGGAGGATAATAGAAACTATTTTGAAAAAGCCGCAGAGTACTTCAAAACCAAAGCAATGTATGGGAGGAGTGAAGTGCGCCCTGAGAAGACTATATACACAAGAATAAAGAACAGTCTGCCAGACACCTTGCGGCAGATAGTATTCTGGTGGGATCCTGTGAGAACAGATGAAAGCCCAGATGAAGAAGGGTACAGCTCGTATGATGCATTCGAGCACCCCGAAACACCAGAGGAAATTGCCATGCGCAAAAAGAGGCTGGCTGTGCAGAAGGAAATTGAAGCCCTCAGAAATAAAATGAGGGGTACCTGCGGGAAGTGCACGGCCTCCGGGGCACTCAAGGAGAAAGGCAGAGATATATTCAAATTAGCAGAAGAAGAGACTGATACTGCAATGGAGGAGCAAGAGAGCGAGGAGGAACAGACTGAAATTAGTGAAGATATTAGTCATGAAGAAGTATATGTAGAAGAGACTGTAGATAGATTTAGCAGTATTCACGAAAATAAATCTGTACACCTGCATCTCTCAGAGACAAAATACAACCAGACGAAAGAACAAGATAATTCAGGCTACAATGGACCTGGTGACTCAGATGAATCTAGCAGTACATTAAAGAATCAAAGTTCTTTTCGTGTGAAAACAAGTGCATATGCAGATAGAGATATCTATGCCTTAATAGAGGACATGTCTAGTCTATCTATTGGATCTTCTGAAATTCCCCAGGAGCCTACTTCAAAGGAAATTTTAACCCAGAGTAGTGCGTGTGTTGTAGTGAAGGATGATTTGGCTGTTTGCAGTGCAGAAATAGGCAAAGAAGACTATCCAGATGGTAAAAGCACTAAGACCCATATGAGCAGTGGAGTATCCCAGGGAAAGGGAATAGACTCAGTTCTGTATACACACCAGAATAAAAGCGACACAAAATCACCACAAAAGAAGAAAAGTGGAAAAACACCCTCGAAGCTAAAGGGAAAAAAGAAAAACGCACAGCTTATTCAGGAGAAAAAAGACAGAGTCATAGGAAACACCTTTGTAACCACGCGGATCCCAAAGTCAAATAAGGTTCTGAAAAAAGGCGAAGTAGTTTTAATGGGAATCCCGTACTACTCGCGGACTGCAGAGATAGAAAGCGCAATTAAGCCAAATATAAAATACGGGTTCCCTGTAGAAACAAAAGCAATTCCAGTGGCAGTTGCCATAGACAGCCACTACATAGAGAAGCTCGGGTCAAAGCGAGAAGCTGTTTTTTCTGTTCTGGAGAACATGAATATTGCAAGCCGGATATATGAACGATCATTTAACGTACTTTTGTACGTAAGTGACATAATAATTGACCAGTCTGCAGAGTGGTACACTAGCTCAGGGTCTCTGGTCCAGAAACTAGACCACTTCAGAAGGTATAGACAGAGGAAGAAAAAGAAGTGCATGATATACCATATTGCAACTGCATCTTCCAAGAATACAGCGCAGATTGGCCTGGCGTGGCGTGGTACCATTGGCTACACGTCCACCAGAAATATCAGTGCAAGCATATACACGGAAAACCAGTTTGTCACAATGGCGCACGAAATAGGCCACAATCTGGGGCTGTTCCATGACTGCGATGAAGACACGTGCAGGGCCTCAGACAGAGTCAACTACCCATGCAATCCGTGCGACGGGTGCGACTGTAGAGGAAAATATATTATGAACTCCAAAAAGGTCCCAAATCTACTCTCTTTCTCGCCCCCAACTGTGAGAGAGATGAGTATTATACTGTCAAATCTAGACGCAGAGATGCCAAAGGCAGAAGACGTGACCATGCCATACCCAATCTGCGGGAATGGAATTGTTGAAATGGGTGAAGAGTGTGATGGTGGCCCATTTGGCGATGCCTGCTGCACGCCTGACTGCAAGCTGCGCCTGGGGGCACTTTGCTCAGATGCAAACAGCGGGTGCTGCCAAGGGTGCCAGCCTGCAAAGGCCGGGACTGTATGCAGAAAGGCCCTGGATGAGTGCCAGAAAAAGTCTGTTTGCGACGGCGTGACATCAAAGTGCCCTGCGTCATCGTTTGTTCAGAATAAAAACAAGTGCTCAGCAGGGTTCTGTGCAAGCGGCCTGTGCACGAATAAAGACAGGCAGTGCGTCATGGCAGGCGACAAATATTCAATTATCTCTGCACTGCCTGGGTACAGCGGGTGTGCCATGAAGTGTGTAAATAAAAAAGGAAAGTCTGTTGCGCTTCCTGAAAAGTCGTTTCGAGATGGCACACCGTGCGGGTGGAATGGAACATGCATGCAGGGAAGGTGCACAAAGGACCTGGGCCTGGCAGCAATTACTGTACTCGCATTTTTGATAGGACTACTTTTAGTGGGACTGGCTTTAATGTGATCCAGCCTGCAGATGAACCAAGCATATTCAGGCAGTGCTTGTTTCTGCATCTGTGGAATCTCTCAAAGACACAGAAGTGTTCTTTGCAAGACTAAAATTTATAATAAATAGTTTGATAACTAATGATGCATTTTACATTAAGATAGACACAGCAGTATTATGGCTTTCTTAAGGAATACCATGGGTTCTGTTGTTTTGTTCTGTCTGATCAGTAGAGTTTTATAGATATCCTCTCTAATAGAATTTTATTCAATAAATACGCCTTTCATTAAAAAATCCATTTGACACTCTCAAACAAGAACAAAATTCCAGCCCAGAGATAGTAGATAGATAGTCTAAGATAGATAATAGATAGTGTAGTTGTCAAGGAAGGTTTGTTTTAATATTTTTATGAATGTCTTTTGTGACTATATCTCTTTTGTATTCATACTAAATATATTTCTTGTTGTCATCTACTGCTTCTTTTAATATTTCCATATAGTTTAGTAGAGTGGTAGTCTTCTAGTATACGAGAGCCTTTCAGAAATTTAAATTTGCATTGATGAGCTTCTGTGAATTCAGAATAAAGACACATATCCCTTAAATAATATCCTGACACACACATAAACCATCCAGTATATTCCATTATATTTCTAATTTCCAGAATACTCTTTGTATACTAGAAGGACACTATATAATTGTATGAAAATATTAAATTAAGCAAGAATTTCAACAATAAGAAATATATCCAGTCTGAATAAGAAAGGACACAGTCACCAAAGGCACTCACATAGTAAATATAAATATAAAACTCACTTGACAACTACCCTTATTAGAGTCTAAAATACTATCACTTGAATAAATTTCAAATATATTCTGGCTACTATTAAATATGCAAAAACAATCAATTGTACTTACAGTCCTGTATAGGGAACTGCTTAAATGCATAAATAATCCGTTATAATTTGCATTTTCTTTTTGTTCGTTGCACTTGGTAATTCAGTAGTTTAATTTTAGTAAACACTAGTACAGTACTCTGCAGAAAGTATTAATAGCTTGATTTTGCTGTGAAAAATAAAATGGAAGAGAAGCAGATGGAGTACGACAAAGAGACAGCAGAAATATTCAATGACCCATACAGATACGCAGTTGACTTGCACATTAAAAACATCCGGTCTGATGCAAATACAGTGGAAATAAAGAAGGAGTACATCCTGGGGCTAGAGACCATTTTGGTCAAGCAGGATATTTCAACAGCCATTTCCATTTTTGCACGGATTGGGGAGTGTGTTGATCTTATAGATGTGCAGGAAGTGGAGGAAGATGTATGTGGTATGCTTGGGTTTATTTCGCAGAATGTAGAGCCAGTTGCCAGGGAGATGGTGAGGTGCCGTGTAGTAGAGAAGGCCATTGCTTTGTACAAGAGAAAGCCAGAAGCAGTAGATGCAATTATTCTTCTTTTTACAATCCTAAATAATACGTTAAATGGATTGCAGGAGGCAGTGAAGGCAGAAGGGCAGGATCCCTCTATTATAAAAGAGATCAGTACAGAGTCAGAGCACATGAGCAGCAAGTCAAAGAGCAGGCTTGCTGTTATTCTGGGGAGCACTGCATAATAAATGTGTAATTGGCAGCTTCAGATATTTCAGGTTTAAATACTGCGATAGAACAAAGGCTTCAGGTTGTTGCATAAACTGCCAAATAAAGAGAGTGCAAACACAGATAGATCTGACTAAATACTTCTATATTCTGAATAGCCTGAATTAGTTGAATAAAACTGGCATATGGAAGTGAATACCTAGTCCTATGTGCTTCTACTGGGATAGATGCATTTTCAGATGCGCACTCTATAATGGGATAATTCCGAATATAATAGGATATAATCACCTGAATAAATTAACTAATTTTCTTACAATTATATAACCCATAAAACTACATAATATCCCTGGCTGCAGTAGTTATACGCTTAGATGGGTTTAGGTGGTTTCTTGTTCCTGTAGAGGGGATGCTTTGCATATATTATGTCTTTCGTTTTATTTTAAATTTTCATGGTTGTTACGCATTCGCAGACCCATGGTAATGCGTGTCTTATTCGGTGTGATGGGTGTCTTATGAATATATCTTCCATGATGTGGATACAGTGTGTGCCCTGCTGCATTGACATATGCCCGCTGTGTGCAATCCAAAGAACACAAATACGCACGCACGAGTACACGCATAAATACCGCGTAATAAAGAGTCTTTTATTTGAGGCAGACACGCCTGGGTGGCAGATGATAGAAGAGCTACTCTTTGTGGATGGTTTAATTGTGCATGGAGTTGGGAATTGGGATGACATTGCAGCGTACGTCGGAAGAAAGACCCCGCAGGAAGTAAAAGAACACTTTGTAGATATATTTAAACAAACAAACTCAGAAGACTTGGAGGGTGAGCCAGTTCAGAACGTGCAAAGTCTTCCACTCTCCCAGGAAATATCTGGATACATGCCCCTGCGACAGGACTTTGAGGTGGAGTATGCGAATGATGCAGAGGTTGTTATAAAAGAAGTCTCCTTCTATAAGACAGACACGCCCTTGGAGAGAGAAACAAAAGAAGTTCTTCTTGAGTCATACAGAAATGTGCTCATGCAGAGAAAGCTTTTCAGGCACCTGATCTTCAACAAAGGCCTTCTTTCAGCCAAGCAACACTCGCTTGGAGAGAGATCTCTCTGTCCAGAGGGAAGAGACCTTCTTACTAAGATGAAGCCTTTGCTGAAAATGCTTACAACAAAGGAATATCTGGACCTGTTCCAGGGAATGTATTTGGAGCTGCAGATGCGAAAGAAAATAGCAGAAATATACCAGGACGACAACACAAAGAAAGGAGATTTATTTGACAAGGAGACAACCTCTCTCTCAGATGAAGTAGCCATGCAATTCCTTTCAGAGAGAGAACAGTCCTTCTGCAGCATGATTTCCATTCCCTTCACTCTCTACTACTCCCTGAAGGAGGCTGCCATACTGTATAAAACTGTGACAAAACTGGAAAAGAAACACATTTTAAAGTGGTTCCAGGGGCTGACAGAACAAAAGCTCTCTCAAATATTAAACTACTTCATACAAAATAAATGGATTGAGAGCCCTTCTGGAAAGATGCATGCGTACACGCATGGATAGAAGGGACTAAGTGGTGTGCACGGCAGAGGAGCAAACTCTAAATATATAAATGATCAAAAGTATGCAATAAATAGCACATACAGTATATTTTATCTTGTTTCCAGAAGAGCACAAAATAATCCCGATAACTTACCCTAAATTCACCATAGCAAAGACATGAACCTGACAAATAATTTGAGGTTCCAAAGGAATTTAAAGAGACTTTAAGAATGAATTATTTTTATGGACAGAATATACAGATTCTTTTGTTATTTAGAGCAGACAGAGAGACAAAGCATCTGGAATATGCAAGAACCAAAAACACCCAAAGAGTCACTTCCATAATAACCCGATATAACCCGAATTACTCCTTGCTTTCCTCTATTCATATTTACCATCCATGCGGCAGACCAGACTATTCAGAATGCACTAGTAAGAGCACATATATTCGCAAGAAACCACAGAACATGCATATAATGAGTATATTTTCATCTGAAATCACTATATTATATACTACTTATAACTATCCATATACTACTACTCAATGAATATACCACTACAGCACTAGAATATATTTCTCTCTTTAACATCTTAAATAATCCCTTCTTGCAGTCTATGCACTTAAGCAGTCCTGTGGATGCCTTGGAAATTCTACATTTAAATCTTCTAAAAATATCCTACTTCTCTGCCTCTAGTGCTGTCTAAACTGCCTGCATGCACTTTATTTATCATGAGATCACATAATTAATATAAGCATATCCCTAATGAAACCACAAAGGAACAAATAAATTTCAATAGTACAAAAACAGGTATAAGCCCATAGATCACGAAAATACACTTATTCAGCCCGGAATATACGATCACTCTGATTCACTTCTTTTATTATTACGTCAATAAATCAGTGCCGCCATATTCTACGAGACTAATTTAAAAAAAGAATTTTGCTGAAAATCTTTATGAATAAGGGAGAAACAAAAACAAAGAGTGCATGTCCATCTGGAGAGATTGGTATGCGAGCAGACCCGCAGAATGCAGCCAAGAAGCTAGTCTGGTGGAAGGAGCCAAGCAAAGGATACCATCTGGGCCAAGTTGTTGCAGAGGATCAAGAGCAGGCAGAGATAGTAGTAGGTGAAAAAAGATTCACTGCAGAGTGGAAGAATCTGCAGAAAGCAAACCCTTCTAAGTTTGACCTGGTGGATAACATGGCACATCTGTCGTATCTGAACGAGCCAAGCATCCTGCATAACCTAAAGCAAAGGTATTTTGCAGAGATGCAGTACACGTACTCAGGCCTCTTTCTTGTCGCAGTCAACCCATACAAAAATCTACCAATATACACAAAGGAATTTGTGCAGAAATATTCTCTTGTGTATAAAAGAGAGGATGAACCACCCCACATATACGCTGTGGCAGGAGAGGCATACCACCTGATGCGAAATACATCCACCCCGCAGACCATTCTTATCACAGGAGAGTCTGGTGCTGGAAAGACAGAAAACACAAAGCATGCAATTGCATTCCTTACAAAGGTAAGTGGAGAACTTTCACAGGGTGCGTGCATTCTGGAGGAGCGCCTTCTTTACACAAACCCTCTGCTGGAGGCCTTTGGAAATGCCCAGACAGAGAAGAATGACAACAGTTCCAGGTTTGGCAAGTTCATCCGGATTGAGTTTGGGGCAAATGGCGAGATAGTTGGGGCCTTTGTAGAGAGATACCTGCTTGAGTCCTCTCGAGTCACAAGCCAGGCAAGTGGAGAGCAGAACTACCACGTATTTTATGCGCTGACAAGGCACGCAGACCAAAGCACACTGGATGCACTGAAACTGCACCGTAACAAGGCGTACAAGATACTTGGTGCTGCACAGGGCGGTATAGACACGCCTCTTAGCGAAGTCTACAGGTCAATGGACATCCTTGGGTTCACACAGGAGAACCAGGAGAAGATATTCAAAATACTTGCTGCAATTATACACCTGGGAGAAGTTGAGTTTGTCCAGGAGAGTGCATGCGTAGACATACGCGCAGAATGCACTGAAGACTTTGCAGCAGCTGCAAGCCTTCTGGGAGTAGACGCCCTTCGTCTGAAAGAGACTCTTCTGCGCCCAAAGATACGGGCTGGCTCAGAGGTAGTTGTGCATGGAAGAACCCCACAGGAGGCAAGCTTTACAGTCTCGTCCCTGTGCAAAGTGCTTTATGAAAGACTTTTCAGCTGGATTGTCCATCTGGTGAATGCATCCCTGCGGACAACACAGCACGCCCAGTCTTACATTGGAGTCCTTGATATTGCAGGGTTTGAAATCCTTGGAAATAACGGCTTTGAGCAGCTCTGCATTAATTACACAAATGAGAAGCTGCAGCAGTTCTTCAACCACAGAATGTTCGTTTTAGAGCAGGAAACGTACCTACAGGAAGGCCTTGAGTGGGATGTGATTGACTTTGGTCTTGACTTGCAACCGACAATTGACCTGCTGGAGACCCCAGGGACAGGAATATTCTCAATCCTTGATGAAGAGTGCGTTCTCCCAGGAGGCTCAGGTGAAAGACTTCTTCGGAAGATTTCTTCTGTCTGGGACTCGCACAGCAAGTTCTCCATTCCAAAGGTACGCAGTGGCTTTGCAATTACGCACTATGCAGGGGAAGTTAAGTACCGCGAGGACGGGTGGATTGCAAAAAATAAAGATCCGCTGGATGAAGACATTGCGTCTCTTATGCTGGGAGCACGCGGTCCAATTCCCTCAGAGTCTGCTAGATCTGGCCTCACAGCAACCAGATTCCGCACAGTCGCACAGGGCCACAAAGAACAGCTTGCTGGCCTTCTGAAGATGCTGCACTCCACTAACCCGCACTTTGTGAGATGCATCCTACCAAACCGCGCAAAGAAACCCGGGATATTTGATGATGCCCAGGTTCTGCACCAGCTGCAGTGCAATGGTGTCCTGGAGGGAGTGCGCATCTCGCGGCAAGGATTCCCCACCCGAATTGAGTTCCGTGAGTTTACACAGAGATACGCTCTGCTCTCACGCACTGGAAAGGAGCATATTCTGCCTGCAGAGAAGGGAGCCATTGCCCTTCTCACAGAACTAGGAATTCCTTCAAGCCTGTTCAAAATAGGACGCACCCGCCTGTTCCTGCGCCAGGGAGTTCTTGCAGACCTGGAAGACCACAGAAATGGAAAGATCTCCGGAGTCATTACAGAGCTGCAGAAGAGACTTAGAGTCCTTCTCTCTGAGAATCTGGAAACCCTTCGCACGCAAAGAGCACAGGCAGTTTCCCTCCTGCAGAAGAACATAAAGATCTACGCATCTGTGCGTAACTGGTCATGGTGGAAGCTCTGCATGAAAGTGCGCCCTCTCCTTGAAGTGCGCAAGTCAGAAGATGAGATCAGGGAAAGAGACATAAAGATTGCAAGGCAGTCTGCGCAGATACAAGACCTGCTTGACAGAATCAGCACACTTGAGACAGACTACAGCCTGGCAGAGCAGCAGGCACAGAGTGCAATTGCCCAGCACAAAAGAGAAGAAATTCAGGCAGCACACGCACGCGCAGAGGCAGAAAAAGAAATCCAGGAGATCCGGGCAGAGCTGACCACAGCACAGAGCGCCCTGACTAAGTCTGTTATTCACACGCGGGAAATGCAGCAGAACGTAGCAGACCTTGAGAAGAAAGTTGAGCACGCCAGGAAGGACGCAGCTTCAGTTGCCACAAAGAAGCTCCTTGCAGAGCTGGCAGAACTGAAGGCACTCCATGCAGAGACCCTCCAGAAAAATGCAGAGATGCAGAAGCAGATTCTTGAGGCCGCAAATAAGCAGGGCCTAGTAGAGCAGGAGAGAGATATCCTAGCACACGAAAGAGATGCTGCCTTGGAGAAAAACAGAAAAATGCACACAGAGATGGAAGACCTACAGAATGAAATTAAGGTGACAGAGTCCCTCAGATACAAAGGAGAAGTAGCCCTGCGCAACAGTGAAGGCGAACTTGAAAGACTTGAGTCACTGCTCTCCTTTGAGCGCGAAAAGCTGCACAGACTTAATGAAGCATTCAAAAAGTCCTCTGTTCCTGCCCCTGCACCTGCTCCTATTGTTGTTCCCCCCAGGGAGAATAAAGAGGAAATATCCCGGCTGCAAAAAGACCTGGACCATGAGCGAGAAAGGGCTACAATTAGACAGAGGGAATATGAAGAGCTGAAGAAGGAGTATATTGACTTGGTTGATGAGAAGCTTGGGGCAATGATCTCAGATAAGCAGAAGCTTGATGCAGAAATGAAAAAGCTGCAGCACACAGTGGCACACGGGCATCTAAAGCAGCAGCAAGCAGAAGAGGCAATTGCAGAGCTGAAGGCAGAAGTGCAAAAGGCAGAAGAGAATATGGAGAGTGAAAGAAGTAAGAACAAAGCACTTGCCAGGGAAATAGTCCTCAGAAAGGAGAAGGAGATTGACCTGGCGCAGGAACTTGCTTCTGCCAGACAGGAGGTATCCTCTCTGCTTGATGGGCAAGAAAGAGCAAAACACACAGCAGAGATTGAAAATGATAGGCGTGATAAGATGCACTCATCTGTGGTGGCTGAAGTAAAGGCACTTGTTCGTTATGTTGATGACCTTCTGGTAAACGTACAGTCTGTCTCATCGCAGGTGACTCTGTCCATGCAGGTTGTGGCTATGTATAAGGCCGAGATGGCAAAACTCTCTGCTGAGATAGTTGAGTCTGCACGTGTAAAAGGGAAAATGCAGCAGCAGATTGCACGGGCACAGGTACGGGAGAAAGATGCAGAGCATGCACTGCAACTGGCAGTCTCTCAAGTCCAAGCTCTATCACAGGAGAAGGAGAACATGCTTGCAGAACTGGAGACAGAGCTGCACGACCAAAGAGAAAGACACGAAACTGCAGAAATCGACTGGCAGGCAGAAAGAAAGAACCTTCTTGCAGGAAAGAGAAAGCTTGAAAGAGAGATAAAGGAAAAGGAAAGAGCGAACACAGGCCTGCTTCTAGCACAGCAGGAGAGAGATCTCTTACAGAAGAAGCTTGTGCTAGCACGGGAAGAAGTGCAGAAGGCAACAGAAGAAAAGGAAGGTGCATGCGCTGAGCTAATGAAAAAGATACAGTCTGTGGCTGCTCTGCTCTCTAAAGAAAAAGCAGAAGCCTGCAAGTACAAACGAGAGGCACAGGCAGTGCGCGAGTCTGCTGCCCGAGCTGAAAGTGCCTTAAAGGAGGCGCGTGCAAAGGAAACAGCAGATGCTGAGGCACTCTCCCGAATGGAGGAGACAATGGCAGGCCTTCTAGGCCGAGAAAAAGAATGTGCTTTGGAGATGCAAAGACTTGAGCTGGAAATATCTTCAATGAAGCTGATTGGAAAGACAAATGAGCTGCAAGCGCAATCAACAGAAGAAATTCAATAAATTTTGACAGTTTATTAATAGTCTTTATCTTTATTCACATTGCTCTTCATAACTGAAAATGCGAAATTTAATTTTTGTACTCGATTGTCGACTAGAAGACTAAAAATAAAAATTTATTTAAAATTACTACTGTACTAGAGAGAGACTGACAAAATAATTTGTTTTGGGTTATATAAAATTATATCTATATAACTTGAGTGATTGTCTGTATGTCCATATCTTCCTTTTACTTTCATTTAATCAGCTGCACTTGCAAATTCTATGCAAATATTGTATGGCATGAACTCATCAAAATAATTCTATCTATATATGCAAAATTAATTCAAAAATTAAAAAAAATGAATAAGATAGAGAAAAAGAATGAAACTGCAATTGAGATGAAGCCTTTACTGAATAGACAGGAACCAAGCACATCATATTCAGTAAGCACAAGACAAAAACAAGATGAAGACTTAAATAAGATTAGTCTAGCACCAGAGCAATTATCCCCAGAGGAAGAAAAGCAAGAAATAAAAAGACGTGCACAAGAAAGAAAGCAAAAATATGAAAGAGAGTATGAAGAGAAAAAGAAGAAATGCGAAATGGAACATGCAGAGAGGCAAAGAGCAATAGAAGAAGAGGAGAGAAAAAAGAGAGACGAAATTGACAGACAAACTGAAATAGAAAGAGAGAAGCAAAGGGAAAGATATAAAATTATGGAAGAAGTTGAAGATGAATGGTCACCTAAAGGACCAACGTATCTCTTAAAAAAGCTTTATTCTTTCTTGAACTGGCTGGATAGCTATGCCAAAATATTCATAGATTTTTATTCATATATGATATATGCATCTGTATACAGTACTATTGGGATTTTCTCCCTATTCATAATGGTTGTAAAATTTAAAGTTTCAAACATTGGGTTTATTTCTTTAATAGTGGCTTCATTTGTTGGTCTTTCACTTCAATTATTCTTCACTGACTTCTTAAATATAAACGGTTATATGAAGGTATACCAAAAGAACTACTTCTATATAGTTTGCACTATAAGAATAATTAACTTTTTGGGTTTTATTGGTTCATTCTATTATATAGGTCATCTATTACCATATGTATTTGACATGTTCAATTACGATTCCATACAATATTTGTGCCGCAGTTTCTCGTACTATATGGTTGTTTCTATTTTTTCTTTGAGTTTTTACACCTTGGTATACTTAGGAATTTCTTTCCTTGAGCATCTGAAGGCTATTAAAACTGAGCGAGAGCTACTGAACCCATATATAACAAGCAAGAAGTATACACGCATGCTTATTTTCTTTGGGTTGAAGAATTTATTCTGGATTACATTAATTATTGCACTCCCATATATTCCAATGCCATCAGATGAAATTGCTAATGCTGCAAAAATTACCAATCCTTGATAAAATTAGAGATACTTATATTTTATATGGTTTAAGTGCCATGGATCAGCTCCAATACCACAATACTTGTCTTCTTAGAGAAGACATTCTTAAATTTTAGTCTTTATTTGAAGATTTAACTCTTTAAATAGTTTTGGGTTAATTTTAGCTAGCGCATTATCAGAATAAACTAATAAACTAATTAATCTATTCTACATAAGAATAAATATGGTTATTATTAATATATTCTACAGGACAATAAATACAGTTATTATTTGTGGTAAAAATTTCATTTTCATTATTCTGAAGCCACAAGATTATATGGAAATATTAAAACAAGCAGAATATATCAACAGTAAGAAGTACACTCATCAAGTATACAAAAGGTCAAAGTCACCGAAGACATCCATAGGATTACAAAAATAAACCTTCCTTGACAACTACCCCTATTACTATTAGAGTCTAAAATACTACTATCTCCAGACTATCTTGTCACCCCCTTTTGGGCACGTCAATGCTGTTTTATTTTTTGATAAATTTACTTTGTGTTAATTAAATAATTTCTGGACTAACAAAGATGTTCTGCTGTTCTATTAGTTCTTATAGAGTATCTGCTTCATTGAAATTATGAATTCTTATTCATTATTTCAGCATATAGATACTTTATTAGAAGGAAATTTGTAATGCCCAGGAGAATTCTCTCATATGAAAAATTCACATGGATATTTTATACTATACTTTCTATTGAAGCAAATATATTCAATATATAAAAATTATCCCAAACTTAAAAAATTTATATGAATAAGATAGAGAAAGAAGTTGCACTTGAGATGAAATGCTTATCAGATACAGAAATAGAGCTAGAGAACAATGATATCCTTTCTGATACGGATATAGTTCAGTTTGTTATTCCTGATAGTAGAAGGTCTAATTTCAACAGTATAGAACATAATAAAACTATAAATCGATTTGACTGCAAGGAAGAAGGATGGGTACATAGTATATTAGAAGGCATAAATTCAGTTTTCTTGTACTGCACGGTTTGGATGCAAGGATGGATTCCTCTTTTTTTAGTGTTTACATCCACTATATACATGACAGATAGTTTTTCAGGTAGTGAATACAGAATACAGTTTTTTTCGTTTTTATCAGGTTTGTTGTTCTTTACATTAGTTCAGATTATCTGCTCTTCTACTATTAAGAGTAGAAGTTCTATGAGTGTCAATGGGTTTTATTATTTTCAAACAATTGAATATGCTAAAACTGCTGCCTTTCTGGCCTACCTCATTGTATTCTTTCATATGCTGCATATGATTTCTAATGAGCGGCAGCCGCAGTCATACAGTGACAATGTGACTTTTGAGAGAGTTCTTAAGATTATTTGGCATGCTCTTTCACTTGTTTTTATTATGGGTTTGTATAACATCCTATACTTAACACTTTCTTTCCTTAGTCAGTACAAAATTACCCGAAATTCATTTAAAAAGATATATTCAAACGGGACATCCATTAGTACTTATATATACACATTTGTGCCAGTTATACTTTGCGTATTGTTTTGGTTTTCTGGATTTATCTGGTATGCACATATATTTGCAAACCTGGAAGTTCCAATTTTAAACCTAAGATCATATAATGCGAATGACAGAATAAGATTCGAATGGCCATTTTAATAAAGAGTTTGCATATTTTAGAAATATCCTAGAAAATAGGTAATTTATGCTCTGGTTATAGTCTATAAGAAAGGTATATGTTGGATTTTGCTCAAGGAGACATAAAGGCATCTAGGCAATATTTATTACAAAAACCTCTGTTGTCTTGGTTTCTAGAAGGTTAATAAATCTTATTTTCTTTTAAATATACTTTACAGTATTATTTGTTGCCTTTTATTTAACATGCTGCATGAGCTGGAGTATCATATCCTGAAGGTGGCAGTCTAGTAGGAATATTTTTCTATTAGACAATTTCAGTTATTTTTGTAGTAGGCATGTGTTTGGCTTTAGTGTAGTTTATTTTATAGAAGGTACCGTTATGTTTTCTTTGCTAGTGAAAATTCACTAGTTTACTGCTATTCCATTGCAGTAGTTTTACTGTGGCTGTGTTTGCTGCTGAAATAAAGCCCAGTGTGTGGTAATTTATTCCATTATTAATTAAATTTTTATTAAAAGATGTACCTAGAAAGAAAGTATAATCTTGCAAAGATACAGTTTTATTTCTGAAAAATGAAAATGCAAAAGATAGTTGAAGTGTGCTTCTTAGCTTGACAATTAAAACTCATAAAGAATAGGTCATTCTAGCAGGGATATACATGGTGTATTCATGAATAAGCTAGAAAGGTATTAGTAGAAGACCTGTCCTATTCATAGTATATTGTACTCTAGAACTAAGCTAATACAAGAGAAAGCATAAAAATAAAAATAGTTTCAGAGCATTCCAAGACAAAATTACTATTCTTTGGGAATTTCTGTTGCTGCAGGCATACCCACAATAAAACAATCAGAATAATACTATTCGGGTCATAATTAGGTTATAAAACCAGATTAAATTGTGCAAAAATACAAAATAAAAGAGCGTATAAGAACAACCCAAAAGTGAAAGAATTAATCCTATTTCTACTTCAATTTACCATGATATAACTCGATATAACCCCGAATGATTCTATACTAAGTGTGCTGTATGCTTAGAATATAACCAAAATATCCAAAATAACCCGAAACAACCAGAATGCATCACAGAACTAACTGTGTATTTACAGTAAACGGAAGATGTATGAGTTCTGGATAGCATAAATAAGACACAGATACTTCATTTCTTTCATATTTTCTGCCCTGTGAATACTCGCTAGGCTGCAGATATATCTGCGCAAAGGTATATACCACCATAAAAAAGCAGAATATTTTATTGAATATTTTTGTGCCCTTGCACTTGTCTTGGTGGGCAGCTTCGGAGATCTTCTCTGAGGAAAGTCCTCGGGTCTTTGCAGTAATGCAGGCTTAGGTGCTGGTTTTACCAATTTACCATATATATAGTAATGCTGCCGGGGCATTGGTCTGTCCTAACAGAATGAGGCTTACTCCAAGACAAGCACCTTTAACATTTAATCTCATGCCGCGAAAGTAAGAATACATTTATTACTGCCTGTCCTTCACGTATAGAAGGCAGGCTCAGAAGTACGCCTAGCCCAGGCTGCTTGGGAGCTTCAGGAAAAAGAAGGAAATGGCTGTTCCAAAGATCCCAACTCCTCCAATAATCAGCTGCAGACTAATAAGCTTTGAAAACATTTTTGAGTTGCTTGCAATAGAGATGGAGCTTGCTGAGTTAACAACTGAGCTTCCCATGGAGGAAACCATCCCGCAAATACCGCAGATTAAGCCACTTGCAAGAATGCACCAGGATGCTTGTACTATTTCCAATGGGATTTCCGTTGCTCCCCCCAGCTTCGCTTCTATTTCTAACGCTCTTTCCTTCAGGAAGAAAAACGACAGAATACTGAAAATAAAGTTGGCCTCGCACAGAACAATCCCCAGGATGCTTTTCATCACAAGAGCAGGTGATTTAACAGACCCACCTGATGTAGACTTGCTAATGGTTGCTACTCCTATTGAGCTGCCTATGGTGTTCAGAACAATTGGGGCAAGTATGCCTACAGCAGAAGGCGACAATGGAAACAAATACAGCATGCGGTATATAAGCTTAATGGCAGGAATAATTAGCAGAAGACTTAGAATAGAAATTATTTCTATGCGGGTCAGCTTGGCAAGAAAAGAGTTCTTTTTCTGTTCCATGTGCAATGAAAATAAAATTTTATTTATGCACTACTGCATTATTATTATCAACAGGAATTCGTTAAATTTGAAAAGATCCCAGGAGGTGCAGTATTCATAATATAGTCGATCAGGAGGAGGTGCATTAATTTGCAAATTACCAAATACTTTAGCATAAAAGCAGATCAGTACAGAATCAATTTAAAAAGAAATATGAATGAGCACTCATGAATTGAGACTATTATGCTATATTCATATTATATTTGAGCCTAGTGCAGTAGTGAATGGCAGTTTAGTAATTACTTTATGTTTCATCTTCAAAAAAACAACCAAAACCCTTTGTTTATTTATAAGGTGCTATGTGTTTCTAAAGGGAATATTCTTATTTGTTGCTTCTCTGTTTGTTATAGCTACAATTAGGGAGGTTTCTATGGAGTTCATTGGTTGTTTGATCTTCGAAAACTATAAGCAATGAAAGATTAATGAGTTTCATTAAGATGACACAAGAAATAAATCAGACAGGCAGTATAGAAGAAACCCACCTTATTAAAGCAAGCAAGAGAAGAATCCCACAGAAATGCAGAAAAACAGAGGATATAGATATCCCATCAGACAACGAAGAGGAAGGACTACAATTTAATCCAAATAAAAAAGTACTAAGAGCTAAAAGAAGAAGTGAAAAAGAGCCTGCAGCAAAAGTGAATTTAACTGGGTGTGTAGGACCAAATTACACACTGGCTGAGAAGCTAGATAGTCTTAACTACTCATTTATTCGGTCTGTGACTTTGGCGTACGAGAAGGATAGTGCATATAACTTCTCAAGTATTGCAATACAATACGCAAAGTACAGGAAAGAAATAGTTGAAAGAGAAGAGGCAAGAAATAAAAGCCTGTTAAATAGAGCACAGGAACAGGATCCAGTAGATATTCCAAAGGCAGATATAGAACAGAGCATTAAAGTAGAGCCAGTAATTGACCAGAGTCAGATGAAACAAACAGAGCCAATTCTGGAACAAAACAAAGCAATTGAAACAGTCACCTTAGACAAGCAGAAAGAAGAGAAGAAGGCTAATTTAGGCATACTTCAGACAGAAGAAAAACAAGAGGAAATGATCACTCCACAGGAACCTGCCATTAAATCAGAAAGTATGTCTGATTCCTCCAAGAAGGAAGCCCAGATAGAAGAATCTCATACGATAAAGTCAGCAGATGAAGAAACAGCCAAAAAGGAAATCCCAGAAGACATTCCGCAATTATATGAAGAACATTCAAATAGATTGGTGCCTGCTAGACTAGAGCAAGACTGTGCTGACTCAGCTATACCAAGATGAAATTATTCAAAGAAATAAATAATTAAGCCATTAATATTAATCTCTGCAAAGTTGCAAGTACTGGAGTAGCAAGATATTAATGATATAAATAAAGATAATATTGCCGTTAATCTTATTTATTATTCCACGGATATTTGTCAAGAATCTTATTCAGGTCTTTATGTATTTACTAGTCACTCTGTAGTCATGTATTGCAAGTTTTAGGAATATGTGTAGTCTCTAAGAATACAGTAGTTTTCAGTCTCTAAGTGGTCTTCTCTAATGAATTTTTAGTTTTTCTTTTTCAGCTGGCAGCTGTGCGGTTTTTCTTTTTAGCAAGAAATCAGTCTTGGTCTTGTACTTACAGGAAATATACTGCCTCAAAAGTATAGATCTGGGGTGGCACCTGGACTGAATACTATCAGTAGATAATTATTCTAGATTTTGTTGTAGGAAAAGGCACTATAATCCGGATATAACCAGAATAATCTCAGTTATTTCCATGGGGTTTTTGCAGGTGGTGTACACTATAGTACATACAAGACTAAAATTAACAAAATTAACAAAATTCATATGCTGTAAGATGTATTTATTTAGACACTACAATCAAGAGGAATGCATCCATACGTATTCGAATATCTTATAACTTTCTGTAAACACACTATAACACAGTAGACTATCTAGTATAGATCTATTTATCTACTGGGGTGGTGGTCTTTGAGTCTTTTGAGTCTTTCTTGCACCACTTGTCTGCTGCCTTTCCACCAGCATATACCAAAGCTGCTCCTAATACTAAACCAACTCCTGCAAATATAAATCTTATTGTTGTTTCCTTGTTCATCTTCTGTTCTTCCAGATTCTTGCGTCTTAAATAGCTTGAAATTACGGAGAAATAAAGTGATTGGTATATTAGATAACTGTTTAATTGAGAGTTTATTAAAGACGCACTCATTGGCTGGTGCTTTTATCAGTTGATAGGCTCCCCCTAGTGAACAGTCTTTTGCACCTATCAAGACAGTCCATCCTTTTCTCCAGTAGGCTGATCATTTTAATTGCTTCTTCTTCTGACAGCTCACTGGACATTTCTTTTATTTGCTTCAATTTCTTCTCCAGCTTCTCTTTAATTTGGGATATTAATTTTTCATCTGAAAGGCTGTCTTTATTCTGGAATAGCTCTTTACACTCTTCCATTTAAAAATTTTATGTTTTTATACGACAATAGTATTGACATTAAAATACCACGAGAGCACAGGGATATCTCACAGCTCATAGCAGCACAGAACTACCAGTATATGTTTGCAGGTGGCACGGACCAAGATGAGTTTCTTATTGTAGATTTAATGCAGCCCATACCTGATGTAGATTTGCACATTGAAGATATTTTAGGTATGAATGATGTTGATGGTGCAACTGTTGTATCAATTCAGTATACGTCCACAGAGTTCAAGCGTGGAATAGATACTTTTTTGGGCAAGTACAGGTCCTCTGTGCGCCCAGTCGAAGTTAAGAAGCAGCCAGACATGCTTGACTGGATGATCGCCAAAGTGGATGGGTATATATCCAGGAATGATGGAAAAGTGCGTCTTATGCACATATACATAGGAGTAACTAAGTATGCTCTGTCTGATATAGTTTTGAGTCTCTTCAAGGAAGGGGATGTTTCAGCAGAAAAAGAAGCTGAGATACACGAGATGATGAGCACCGTAAAAGTCTTAAATTCAGATATTTTCATCACGCAATAATTCTTTATCTTAGTGGGTGCGCAAATATCTTAAGAATTTATGCAGGCCAATAAATGGAATTCTTTTTATTTTCAGAGAATGCTTTCAGATGAATATTTGGAGAAGATTGAAATCACACTAAGCAATCCTTTTACTGTGCAGATGAGTCAGGAGACCTTTTGTCGGCTCAGAGGACTAGCAGAGAAGCAGGCAAGGCACTATCCACAAGACAGGCTATATAAGATTCTTGGTCTTATATGCAGCAGGCTTAACAGACAGACACTCAGAATAGCTGGGAGAGAAGATGAAAAAGAGTGTATATTTGAAATATATGAGAATCAGCAAATTAGTGTGTGCGGGATAGAGATGGGCCTGCCACTTGGTCTGAAAGTTCTGGCATACGGGATAAAAAGAGGACTTAGTGTGGATAGGGATATCTTATTGAAAATTGCACACTTAGAGACAAAGTCATTCTTGGCCCAGAAGGCACTTGTAAGCATATCCAAGGCAGTTGTGCAGAGAGGGCTTGATTATGACGGTCTCTTTTATAATAGAATAATTGAGATGCTAGGGGAGTCAAACAGTGATGTGAAGATAAAAGCAATACAAGCAGCCCTGAAGATTCGGGAAAAAAGCAGCTTAATCGAAAACACAATTGATGCCCTTCTGAAAGATAGTGAGAAGACAGTTCCAAATCCTATCTGGGCACCTGCCATGCTCGCCCTGCTGGGAGTTCATATATACAGAGAGAAGAAAGGGGAGAAAAGCAAAAATGTAAAAATAGCTTTGAGAATAGTGAAGAATTATATGGTGAAAATATCAAATGAAAAGGTCATGAATGGGCTTATGGTGATACTCTGGGGGATGACACAGGTTGGAGTTAAAGCACATCTTCCCTTTTTAATTCTTCTCTCGATATTCTCGCGGTCAAGTGATGTAAGGAAGACTGCGTCTGGGCTGCTTGTTGAGTATTTAGGGCACAATCCATGTGACCAGTCTCTGCGCATAATTGACACAATACGCAGCAGAAGGCCAGATATAAAGGCACTTCTTAAATTTGGGCGAATCAGCAGAAGCCTGCTTGCAGAGTTCTCAGTCGTACTTGTATCAGAAGGAGTGCCTCTTCTCATAAAAAGAGCTGCACAGCTGAAGGTGTACGCACAGCAGGAGTGCACCTGGGATGCAGCAGACCTTTTTAGCAAAGTGTGCGCTCTCAGGGTGTGCCTAATCCAGCACAGAAGAGAGGAAAAAAGGAAAAGATCAGAAGACGTAGAAGAAGTGAAAATGTCAGATATAGCAAAAGACACAGAGATGCAGAAAGAATCAAAAAATACAGAAGAAATAATTCAGAGTCAAAATATACCTTCTAGAGAGATATGTTTATCTGATAAGGAGATAGATGGAATATATTCAAGTGTGAGTGAAATAAACAACCTATCAGTTCGGAAGACACTTGCAGAAATATCCGAAAAAGATTCATCTACAGAACTCAACGGCCAATTAGAAAGGCAGAAATCTGCAGAGCTGTTGGATACGCTAGCCCGAATTGTGCAGGACATTTCACCAAAGATACTCTCTCCCTTGGTGAAAATTGAGGCAGAGGCACTTAGACTGCAGATTAAGGCTATTCGGATTCTTGGACTCGCAGCTCCGCATGCAGAAGCTGCTATTATGCACTGCATGGCAAAGAATATCTTCACAAAAGAAGTGCTTCAAGTGCTTCTGCTGCATGCGCACAGTATTAACGAACAAATTGCACTGCGCCTTGGTCGAGCCGTTAAAACACAAACAACAGTTCTTGCACTGATTATTATAAAGCACCCACTGCTGCAGACCATCCAGAACGAAGAGTGCCCTAGAATGTCTATTCTTAAATCATCCCCAGGATATGCTTCGTACATCTATCTGCTGGCCATAAAGAGACTTGTTCCTGTGGAAAGAGCAAAGTCCATTCTATTTAGCCTGCTAGACTGCTATACTACGGACCCCTTACTTGGGGACATTGGCTCACACTGTCGCCTGGATGCACTCTGCATACTTGCCAGAGCAGCATGGCCCAGCCGGCCATATAAGTACCCGTACAGCATCAGACAGGGCACACAGCCTGTTCCCATATCATTTGTGCTATCTCGCTTGAAACTGCCAGAAATAGATTTCAGCTTCACAGAAGCAGAGCGTGCGCTGCTTGTAAGATACACCCTTAAGCTGGCAGCTGATAAATCAAGAAGAATATCCCACATTGTATTCACCTGCATACTGCCATCAGTTAAAAGAGTGCAGCCGCACTCCTTTTTGTCACACATCCTGGCAGTCTACCAAAAAAGCACTAAAACTTCCCCATTAGAAGATGCAGCTGTAGCAGCTGCCACTTCCACAGGACTTAGCCTTCTCCGAATTTCCATGCAGAGAGGGCAAGAGACCACCTCTACCACAAATAGACAGTCTGCCAGAAAGGCGCTTAAAATGCTTCTGTCCGGTCTCCTGAATGCACTTGTTTCAGCAGATGGCCGACTTTTCCAGAAAATACTTTTGCATGGAAAGAAACTCTTCAGAAGAAAAAAAATACAGAAAATCGTGAAGAGTCTCCTGGAAAAAATCTCTGAGTCCGCCAATAAGCAGGCAGCATGGAAGATCAATGAGATAAGCAAGGAGATTTTGATTTAACAAAAATATTTTTACATTTTTAATTTGGAATGAACCAAAAGGAAGAACAAAAAAGTGCACAGCAGGAAGCCCCAAGTGACCAGGCAGAAAGGCCAAAAATCGATCTAGAAAGAGGATACAGGCCAGCATACAATAGATACAGAAAAAGGCCGTACAGACAAATCGAGAGAACATCAAGATATGAAGAATATCCTAGCTATAGATATAGCAGAGTAGAAGAAGGCGCAAGCCATCCACCCAGAGGATACAAGTCGTATCCCCCACAGGCCTACCGAGTGGATAGGTATCGGGGAAGGCGGCCTGGATATGAAGCATACCCTGGGAGGTGGCAGGAGCCAGGGAGATGGCAGGAAGAGCACTATTCATTTTACGACCAAAGACCAAGGACGTACTACAAGAAAAGAGTTCTTCCTGCAGAGCAAGTCCCAGTGAATGTCCTAGGGATATTTGGCATAGACATAAGAGTGACTGAGGATGAGCTGAAACAGTGGCTAAATGAGAAGCTAGAGAGTCTGCCATTCACCAAGACAGAACTGGTCCTGGACAAATACACTGGGTATAGCAGAGGCTATGCATTTGTGTACTTTGATACTGTGGAAGAAGCAACAGCAGCTAAGGGTAAGCTGACAGACCAGATGCTAAATGGCTCCATTGTACGTGTAGAATACTCAATAACACCATCTGGGCATGCTAAAAGAGAGGTAGCAGAGGAAAGCAAGGAAGCAGAAGAGATAAACCCAGCACAGAAAAAGAATGAATAAAGAATGTTTAGCAATGCACGGAGTACTACTGTGATTTAAGAATATTAATTGCGGCCAATTTGAATGCGCATATTTCAGCACTTGCAGGATTTCATCCCCACAGAAAGATCTTAGAGAGTTTCGGGTGGTTTTGAGATAACATATTGTGTTTGTGCGCATAAAATCTGAAGATTTCGCAGTCAGTACCAGGCCCTTTATATGTTATAGCAGGGTAGTTTTCATATATTTAACTGAAATCACTTTGATACGCACACTAATATAGCCATAATGTGTGAATGCGTATTACTGAATGAGAAGTAAGTAAAACCATTCAAACATCGGGTTATATCCGGGTTATATTCGGATAGACTTTATGCTGCCTGCAGATTTAAAAACCCCATGAAAAGAGACACTTCTCTTAGCCTAGTGCATCCGAATATACAACCGAAACTATTCGATAATTGTACATTGGCGCAAACATAATTAAGTATGCTTTATTGTAAAATAATATCTGCTTTATTTTTAGTCTGCCATGCATGCTTGCATTCTCTAGTTAACCCATAATTTCACTACAAAAACAATTAAATCGATCAAGAACCTCTATTATAGCAAGTCCTTCCTCACCCTATAATAATGCTGATTTATTAATGCTTTCTGGTTTATAAACCAACTGGCGCACTTTCACAGTTCAATAAGCCTTTATTTGAGAAAATTATGCTGCACCTGCCATCATGCCAAAAGGAATATTGATTGTTTCGCCGCATGGATCGCACTCCAAATCAGTTGTAGCAAGATCATTCTTAAGAGACTTCAAGCACTCCTCACACTTGCTTCTCTTACGTGCTGCACGGCCACCATTTCTCTTGAGAATGTCATCAAACTCATTCAGGGTTGTGTTTGAGTTTGCTGGCCCAATAATCTCTGCAATTGTTCTCTTCTTCTTCTTCTTTTTATCCAGAATGCCAAATGGCTCATACAAAAACATTGCACTAACACCCTTGGTGTCTTCCAAGGAGACAGTATTTGCAATAATACTAACTGCTTTTTCTGGTGTGTTGGTTTTTCTTTTGATTAATTTAAAGAGATGGCAGATCTGACTCTTTGATGACACCTTTCCAATAGTGCAATTTGTATCGTCCAAGTTTAGAAGAGAGTCCACTGCCTTCATTCGGGTGAGTTTTTTAACGAGAGGGTGCATCTTAACTTGATTAGGATCATCCTTTCCCTCTCTAAGACAAATAGATGGCATGCCCACCTGGAATGCATTTCCTATACCACCCATTCCATTAATCCCCATGGATCCTAAAACATTCGTGCCTTTCATGAACTGTGAAGAGCACATCTGCGACATCGGCCCTGATATTGCAGGCATTGCCATTCTAGAAGCAGCGTATGTCTTTAAAAACAATCCTACAACAGAGACTCCTACAACTACTCTTTTTGCTACTTGATATTTTGCCATTGAACATGCAGGTTTGCTAGGTTATATACTTTTGTTTCACATTTTGTTGTGAAATGCACCAATCTTATAATATTTCTGTTTCACACTGAAACAGACTTACTGAATCACAGCCCCATCCATCCCCTGCAAGAAAGTGTCTTTGAAACACAGTGCAAGCCAGATTAGATAGTAACTAGGTTGCTGTTTATTTGTAAATCCACTCTGATCAATAGTGTAAGATATCCAAATAATAGCCCAATGTACCCAATGTACCTGATATATTCCAATTATTACAAACATCTGTAGCTCTTGTCTGTACATATAAACCCCCTTAACTCTGGTTATATCCAATTAACTCATATTATTTCTGTAAATAGTAAATAGTAAATTAATATCTAACAGAGTGATATATAGAATCTACTGATTAGCCTTATGGTGAGTTAGTATATGCCTGGTTATTTGGCTGATTAGATTACATCATGCCATTCACTTTTCATCACGTGTGTATTTTGTGCACTCAAGGGAAAGACACTCGTTGTTGCGGCAGAGAGTGTGTGCCCGGCACCTGATACTTCTTACTACGTTTGATATCCCAGAGCCAAACTGGCCTGCTAGTTTCTTCTTTATATGCATATCCGGATACTCTCTGTGCAGTATTTCCACTAGCTCCTTTTTTTCAACTCTCTCTGCACAGCATGTCTCCAATGCATACGCCAGCACAGCCACATTAAGAAATGGAGACATTTGAAGTACTCCGCATAGCATGCCTGCCCTGCAGTCTCTTTGCAGATTACTCTCCCAGAATCCAGATATATCTGTTATAATTTGTCTCACTAGAAGAAAAGTAGTTTCATCATGATCCTTTCTCTTGTTGATTATATCTTTGCACATCATAGAGATATCTGCCCTGTCCTCTGACTTATTTACACGCACTGCACTTTTTTCTTCTGCAATTTTTCTGTGCCTGGAGTACCCCATGAATAATTCATCTGCACCAGACCCTGTTATGATGTAAGTGCCCCCTAACTCTTTCGTCTTTCTTGCTGTAAAGAAATGGAGTGCTGCCAGGTTGAAGTCCATTGTAGTCCCGTCTGATATACTTAGTATATCCTCCTTTCTTGCTATTGTTTCCTCTCGTGTTACATTATTTTCTACTAACATGCATCTGCTCGTATCCTGTACCCTACCCAATATATATGTATAACCTTCCTTTGCTGTCTCTCTGTCACGAGATGCCCACGTATCACCACATGAGAATGCCGTATTTATAAGGAACACTTTGTGCGTAAAGTACTTTAAGCAAAGCATAGCACACAATAAAGAGTCAATTCCTCCACTGTATGATATAAATATTCTATTTGTCTCATCAGTAATTCTATCAAGAATATTCTTAAGCGAGTTAAATAAAAGAGTCTCCAGGGAGCAGACTGAAATATCCATTACTTCACTATTATTTATATCTTCAGATATATTTATGCTTATATCCTTCATCTGCAGGCTTTCCTGTTTCTGTAATATTTCTTGTATAATATTACGGCTGTATGCATAAATAGACATAAAAATTTGCAAAAGTGCTAGTTTAGCAGTATACTACTGTGCATCTGGCTTAGCAAGAAATTAAAAAAATAAAAGATATAAAAGAGGGAATGCATATACGAAAGAAATGAATAGATGAAACAAAAGCAGAATTCCTTCAATTCTTATACGAATAAGCCAATCTTAACGAATTCTCTGATCAATTCCCATTTATCTACCAGTAGTGCATGGTCCTTTAAGGACTGCACAAATAATAAGATGGCTTAGTTCTACACTTCAGAAGAAAGCCAGAATCATAGAAGGTAGTGCTAGAATAGATAGATTCATGCATAATATATATAACGGTTAATGTGCAAAAATTAGTAATAGTTCATTCAGAAGGTAGTATTTTATAACCAGATAACAGATAGTGTAGTTGTCAAAGGAGATTTATTATTATCACATACTTGAATATCTTTGGTGCCTATATCTCTTTCTTATTCATACTGGATATATTTCTTATTGTCATCTGCTGCTTGTTTTAATTTGGGTTATACAATTTGGTAGAGTGGTAGTCTTCTAGTATACGAAGAGTCTTCTGGAAAGTGGAAAGTGAAAGGGTCTTATATCTACGTAATAATCATGTAGTATGACAAAATACCACAGTATTAATATGCTGAAACAATGAATAATCAAGCATATAGTGATTCTTCCATGATCAGGTGCACCTGGAATGCACTAAAGAGATAATATTCTAATTAACATACAATATAACAGATATTTATTTAACAATAGCACAGACGGTTCTCTGCAAGCATTGAAGAGAGTGAGCTGGATTTGCCTATCTCATTCAAACAGTATGAAAGCCTGCCTTCTGCCACTTGCTGCCTTAGGTTTGCTGCATTTTGCATTGACTTTATCAGCTCTACACACATTATATCCGAATCAGATGTTTTATTTGTGCTGTACGCTTCAGATAGAATCTGCGACGCCAAGCCTGCAGCCAGCCGTGCACCAAACCCATTATCTGCTGATGCTTCTCCCAGAGACTCTTCCTGTGCTTGGTTGTAGATTGGGGGACAGATACACTGAACCCCTTCAGTACCACCACCCACCACACCGTACATCATAGGTGCACTCTTCATAACAGACACTCCTCCGCCTGCTACCAGGCCGCCTGCTCCTGCTCCTGCCCCCAAGCCTGCCATTGCAATTTGCGCAGGCACTGCTACTGCTGTAGCTGCAGGAGCCTGCACGGCTATGGAGCCAGCTGACACAGGAACTATAGACCTAACTAGCTGCGTAGGGTAGTTCATTCTCTGCATGGCTTCGTAGTTACGCATGGCTTGTGATGTATTTTGCTGGTGCTCAACTCTTGCTAGGTGCGCAATTGCTGCCATGTCCTTTGCATGCGCTGCTTCCTTTGCACCTATTTCTGTTACAGCCATGGCTGCTTTTGCAATTCTGCTTGCCTGGGTTGCACTGTTTATACTGGCTGCTTCTGCTGCATGCAGCACCATTTCACTCTTTCTTATCTTTCTTAGCTGCTGTGCTTGCATGCCTGCCATTGCTGCTTGGCCACCTGCCACAGCAACCATCTGCCCTGCCATGGCTGGCTGCATAACTACCTGGCTCATTGCTGCCTGTGGTGCTGCCTGCATAACCACTTGACCTACTGCTGCCTGTGGTGCTGCTTGCATTACTACCTGGCCTACTGACTGCTGTGCTGCTGCCATGGCTGGCTGCATTACTACCTGGCTCATTGCTGGCTGCGGGGCTGCTTGCATTACTACCTGGCCTACTGCTGCCTGTGATGCTGCCATGGCTGGCTGCATAACCATCTGGCTCATTGCTGGCTGTGCTACAACCTGCTGGGCTACAGCTGGCTGTGCATACTGCTGCACAATTGAACTGGCATCTATGGCTGCCATGCTTGGTGCTGGCACTGTAATGGAAACTGGCGTGCATGTGCATATCTCCCCTATCTGCTGTGTCATTCCACCTGTCTGGGCAGCTCCTCCCATCCCAGATAATCCTGACATGCCAGAGAACCCTGCACCAAGCCCCATGCCCATCTCCTTCTGCAGATATCCCGTTGATGCTCCATCTACGCATACACAGTCTCCTATGCTTAATGCATTGCTGTATTTAAAATATGTACCAACAAGTATTACAACGCCTTGTAATATATTCATTATAATGTCATTCTTTTCTGGCTATATAGGCACTTTATTACATGATTAACTTTGTTTTGCTTTTTTCTGTTTTAGAAGGTGCGTGATCAAGTCATTATTCACTCTGTATTGGGTCGTTTTGTTGACAAGTGTTTTAGAAAGACTTATTACTGATTCATTGTTGTAGTGAAGTATTGAATTAATACCAATCTGTATTCCGTTGGTTTCTATGTATACAATTGTAACCTGATTTGTTTCAGAATTAGACATTATCTCTACGACCGCCTTGAAAATAGCAGGTACTTTATTCTTCTCTGCCTCATGGTTTAACAATGGCTGTGTTATATCCAGTAAGCTAAGCACTTTGCACAAAACCATAAAGAGCAATAAAAAAATACAGCACTACTATAATATAGTGGATATTACTGAGTGCATATAAACTATATTTTTGTTGTATGAATATGGTTTAGACTTATTTGCAAGATGCTTTCTTTTATGCTGCTTCTTATTGTGCTTTCAGGACGAGCTTATGTGCACTGCCACTCAATGCGTGAAATCACTAGAAATTAACCAGAACATTCTACAAGGACATTCTGGTCTTTAGAAGTAACAGATTCTTTTGCATAATTTAGAGAACTATTCATATAAACAGCTATTCCTACTGAATCTAGCATGTTTAACCAGAATCAATGCATATTCTGCATATCTCAGGGAATTTCAGCCATTTGTGGTTCTTTCGAAATATATCCTAGTGAATTATTAAATTATTCTGAGCTTTGTTCTACTAGAAGATTTCTTTATTATTCTTTATAATATTTCAAATACTGAAATTCCTGAAGAATGAATAAAAAGACAGAGATATTTGAAGGAACTTGTATTCTAGCCATAATATTGTAACTGTAAGCACGCAAGTGCACTGTAGGTGTATTTTCCATATAAATTATCTGTAGTTATTTTTTGGGTTATTTTGTATTAGATATATTCTGTCTATTTATCTTTATTATGGCTTAATGTAAGCTAAAGCATAATTATTGTTTGAATTGAAATCTGAAGAATCCTTCTGGGTGCATAAATATTTAAAAAGGTACCTAGTGCATTTTGGATTATTTGGGCTAAATAAATAATGAACTGATTTTATTTACGAGCTATCCCTTCATTACTAATAAATTAATACCACCTAGGGTATTCTTAAACTAATTATTCTTCTAATTTAAGAAGTTGTACAAATTTAGCCAGTCATCATCCTCTGTGAAAATATAGCTAGATCCAAGTGGGCTTCCTGGTGTGGCTCGGTCCATCTCATGGGGTGGGTTCCATTTCTTTGGGGCTTCTACATTCTCTTTCTGGCCCTGTGAGATACCTTTGTGGTGCTCCTTCACCTCTGACCGAACACTTGCATCTCCAAATATCTGCTTGAGAATGTGCACATCTTCGTATATCTTGTATGGACTTGTGAAAATAAACTTGAAGTACGATCTTCTATCATTTGTTTCGCAGTCAATTCTTGATTTCTTCTTTGTGCTTATAAGGATGAATGGAAGATGCAGCTTTTCCTTTTCTTCAATTTCTCTCTCTGAGTTCCTCTTAATAAGCCGCAGAAGCAAGTCCTTCCTGCGAACTGTTTCCTCAAGAATTCTTCTTTTTTCCTCCACTCTTTCTCGCAGTTTTGGGGCCGAAACAATTGCCTGCCCCAGAGAGGCGAGTCTTCTTTCTACTTCCTCCTCGCATGAGCACATCTGGTTATCTGTTATGTATGCCATCTTCTTGTCCTTTTTGATCAGATTCACTGCACACATGACATTAAGCGCATCATAGACCCTTCTCTTTACATTTTTGTCGTCCCCTGTGCCCTCTGTCATTCCCATAATTATATCTGCTACCTTTGTGTATTCAATTGACTTTTCCTTTTGCATAATAGAAAGTATCATGGCAGAGAACGCCTTCAGCCCAGTTCTCTCCTTCTTTTGTCGGTTCATTATAAATTTGCAGGTGAAGAATATTTATTTCAGAATTCTTACAGTGGGAAGATCAAGCCCACCGCGCGTGTCCTCTACGAAGTCAACCTGTGTGAGCTCTAGCTCCTGTGCTATTCTTTTGTGCAGAAGAGTGAGGGCCTCTATTCTGCCTGGCAGTATCTTTGGCTTTGCAGATGCATACTGCAGGGCATCAGAAAGAGACACACCGTACGCCTTCCAATCCGTGTCCTTAATCTCCTGAGTGCTCTTCAAGGTGTCTGCCTTTGCGTGCCATGGAAGAATTTCCTTCAAAAAGGCAAGTTCTATGTGGGATATGCGCTGTCCTTTCTTTCTGTACCTAGCCATGGCCTTCTTGGTGTGTGCGACTACTTTATCAATCCACAGCCCCATATCCACAATACTCTGTGATACCTCTGACTTCTTAAGAATCTCTCCTGTGCCAAATGGCTTTTCCGTTGCGTCCTTCAGGATGTATTCTGTTGTATGCGGGATGATCGGGTAGTTCAAAGCCAGGAATACCAGCCATGCGTACTTTATGAGCGTGTGGTTGTCAGATGCCTTTGAATGGTGCTCAATGAGTGGCTCAAGTGTATAGAACCCGTGCATGACACCTTCTCTGAAGAACAGATTTTCATACGCGTCAATTGTCTGGTTCTTTATGGAGAGAACCTTGTTTAGCATAAGAGAGTCTAGTGTAAACTTAGATGAAAGCTCTTTCTTTAGCTGCAGCTCAAGTGATTCTATCTCTGCCTCAAGGGATGCAAACCTGCAGCCACTGAAAATTGGAGAAAGCTGCTTGTATATCTTGTGGATGCGAAGAACAGAGGCATTGCATGCCTGCTGAGAGAAGTTACTGTCCTGTCCTGTGTCTCCTCCTGAGGCTAGAGTAAGCCTCACAGCATCTGCCCCAAACTTATCTATTGCTTGGTCTCCTGTAAGGAAATTCCCTATACTTTTACTCATCTTCTCTCCATCCAGAAGGACATGGCCATTAGTGAATATTCTCTGGGGCCACAGCTCTTTCCTGAAGAGAGAAACATGGTTGTACACGAAGAACAGAAGATGGTTGTTTGTTAGATCCTTTGCGGATGTTCTCAAGTCTACTGGATAGAAATACGCAAATTCTTTGCGCAGTTTAAGAACCACTGGGTGAGTGGAGATTTCTGTCTTCTGGTTCTCTTCCCCAAAGACTGCCTCCCAGAAGTTGTAATCAATCAGGGACTTGTCCAGAAGAGGAACTTCTCCAAAAATGTCTTCTGACAGAAGATGCTTCACAGTGTAGAATGCCATATATATTGTAGAATCACTCAGTGAGTCAATGACATACTGCGTATCCCACGGAATGCGTGTTCCCAGACCGTAGCTCCTGCTGCATGCCCATTTAGACAGCCAATCCAAGCCGCAATTCATTGCCTCTCGTGTTTCTTTGGTGAGTGTCATCTCGTCCAGACACTCCTGTGCGAGTGCCTTCCAGGAGTCTTCTCCGTAGTTTATGTGCCACTGGTCCACAAGGGCTACGATGCACTCTGCACCTGATCTGCTAATTACCTTTGAAAGCGGCTCGTAGTACTGTAGAGTGGGATATTCTGTCTGTTGCTCCTTTTTGTTTTCCTTCTTCTCCTCTACCTTGCTGGCTGATGAGAGAATAATCTTTGATGCTGGCAGGGTTACTGCTGCAGTTCCTTCAATGACTACTTCTTCTCCGCTGCACTGAATGGTTCCCCCAACAAGTGATGTTCCTTCAATTGTGCCTACTACTTTTACACTGTAGTGCTGCGCCTGGAGATTTGGCAGAGTAGATGGAGCTGCAATTAGAAGTTCCCCTTGCATGTCCAAGATATTGTATGTGACACCTGTGCTTACTACGCACTTATATGGTGCTGCTGCATTCTCTTTCTGAACTACTAAAAGGGTGTACTTCTTTTCCTCTTGCATGAAAGGAACCTTCAGCAGCTGGTACTCTTGCGGTAGAACACCTTCTCCAGACTGTCTATCGTGGTCCATGCATGGCTGGTTGTCCTTTGGACAGTAAATAGTGTATCTTTTCCCAAAGGATATTCTGTTCTGCTTCTTCAGCTTTTCAAACTGCCAGCGTATGAATGAATCGTAGAACCAGTTGATATCTGTGGTTATGAAGCAGCGCCTCCAGTCAACAGAAGCCCCAAACCTCTCAAGTGTTTGCTGTGCCTTTTCTGGGAAGTACCTCAGCCAATGCTCTGCATCTGCAAATTTCTCAATCTCTTCTTCTTCAATGTCCATTGACCGCAAAATATCTGCCTGCCCTGTCTTTCTTACTCCAGTGAGCTCGTCTTTTAGCTTATCTGCAGCTGCCTTGATGGGCATACCTGTGCAGTGGAATGCATATGGAAACAGTGAATTGTATCCTGTGACTCTTTTGTATCTGGCTGCAAAGTCCGCCTTGCTGAAACTAAACATGTGCCCTAGATGCAACTTGCCATTCATGTATGCGTATGGGAAGGTGGTAAGATACTTCTTCTGTCCTGGATTTGCATCCATTTCATACTCCTTTCTTTCCTTCCACAGAGCCTGCATGGTTCTTTCTATTTCTAGTATTTCTTCTTTCTTTCCGTCCTTTACTGGGTGCGTACTGCTTTGTGCGTTCATAAATTTTACACCATTTTTATTTTTATATATACAAGCCTACTATGCCCCTACTAGTTTTCTGTGGTATAATTACTCTCTGTCTACTGTGCACTATTCACAGGAATTCTTACTGATCTTCAATCCTTCATAAAGTGCATTTTAAGCTAATCTTTGGCTGCTGGCTGTAGCACACTCCCTTAATTTATATTCTGGCTATATTCATGGACTTCTCCCTGTAGTTATATCTATTTTCAACTAGTTTTCCTATTACTTTTATTTAAACTATATGCCTATTATAGTTATTTGTCAATTTATTCTAAACTCGTACTCTCCTATTATAAGCCATCCTTATGGATATCTGTCTCTTTGCTATGCCATGCAAATAAGCAAAACTCATTAGTGCTCTTTTCATTTCACTGCATGGTCTTTGGCAAGGCATAAAGCACACCTCTTAATATAAATGGTATATAAAGAGATTTTTGGGAAAATAACTGACATATAGACTATATGAACATTATTCATACGAAAGGATAGTGTATTCCTGTAGCTTCTTAATTGCATGCTATATATGTACTCTGGGTGGATATCTAATAGAACAGAACAGTTTGAATGTTTATTATTTGTTTACACAAAGCATGGGTGTTTATGAAATTATCTATGGAATTTATAACATAACAGCCTAAATATATACTACATATGCTAGCAGTTCTAACCTGTCACTTTTATACGTTAAAATATGTTAAGATGCACTTCCTAGCATATACAGATATATTTCTCTTCTAAATACTTTTGTTCTAGTGGAATTTATCGTATTTACAATGTGGATATTTGCTGCCTTTATGCCTCTTCTTGATATACCCGAATTTTCTGTATTATTGGATTTCCTTTGATTCGGGTTATATCAACAGCTTTATCTATATATGCATACATTTGTCTCTTTGTTTAACTCTATTCAGAAGCATATGCTTAATTAGATCTAATTATCTATATGATTGAATTGGATATATTCTATCTAACTAAGTTTTTGTGAATTCGGGTGTTATATCTATAGATTAAATCCTTTAGATACAATTTGGTTCTCTGTCTTGATCATTGTGTCCTTTCTTTTACCTTTCAAGTCTATTTCTATTTACTTTTCCATGTCTACAGAAACTTCACTCTAGTTTTGTCTTCACTATGTGGATGCAAGGCTGTGTCTTTTTTCAGATGTATTTTCATCTTGCAAGCTGCAAACTACCATACCCTCATGCACTCTATATTTCTATTGCATATGCACTTGGCACTCTAACAGACCTTTTTGCTTTCGCTTCTGTGCTGTGTATTGCATTTCTGGCGCATTTAATCGAATATTTGAAATCAAAATATTCTGTAACAAATACATATGTTTCCAATGTTTTATTAGGATGCAAAAAAATGTAATGACCTTGGAGCGTATCGCGTGTTCATCGAACAATAACACTTTAACTAGTATTAAAAGCAGCCAGAACCCATACATACTTACAAATGAAAAAAACACAGCCATTGTCCAGGATATTTTTAACTCTTTTGGAAAATGCTCTGTTGCAGAATGCCCTTTGAACTCTTCCATGCCGCATGCAATCTCACTTTACTCAAATATTCTCTTCTGCATTGCACAGGGTCATGCTAACAGGCCCTCACTAAGCTACTCGGGCTCTTTCTCGTCTATTTGTAATTTTGAAAAGAGCATTCTCTTTGCAATTCAAATAGACCGAAACTTCAAGCCCACATGCACAGGACGGATTGATGTGCGCTGCGAGCAAGAGATTGAGTCAATCACATACATGATATATATAGACCGGTCTTTCCAGACAAAAATAAGTACTGCAGACTACTACCACATACTGGACATGCTTCTGTGCCGGAAAGAGTATGAAAGGTTTTTTATCATCTATGCACAGCTTGAAGAAAGAAGCCTAGGCATATATAAGCTGGCACTTCTTGCCTCCCTTTACATAAAGAACGAGAAAACCACAAAAATCCTAGCACACCTCATACGCGATCTGGGTCTTTCTGGAAAGATAGATGCAGACATATCCTCACCAGAGATTGTTGACAAGCGGTTTCGCAACTTAGTAGAAGAAGCTGCAGAAGATAGCGCAATCCCCGACCTTCCAGCAGAAGACAAAGAGATTCTCTTCTATACGATAAAAAATTGGCACTCAAACAAGCACAAGGAATTCTACTGGACAATCTCCCTGCAGAAATGGAGCTCAAGCAAAGGAGCAGAAGGCGCATCGGAAGCAATGATTGACAAGTGCATTCTGCTTAAAAAGTACGAGGAGGGCTGGTTTGTCTACAAGGAGTCCACTTTGTATCCCATTCTGCCGCTGCGCATGTTCAGAATATCCAGAAAGGCTCTTTCTCTAGTCATCCATGCAATTAACAACTGCAATACAAATATGTGGGTTGAGAGGTATCTGGAAATAGCGACAATCATCACCCGAATGAGCATAGACAATGCCCAGAAAGTAAGAAACACATTCTCGTCCCTTCTCCGCCTGAAGAACTACTCCCACATATCGTGCATTGCCAGGCTAATAATCAAGCAGTACCCTGATAATATGCTCAATGACAACCAAACCCTCTGCAGTATATTTGAGGACATATTTGAAATATTCAGGATAAACAAGCAAGGAATAATCAACTCTGGTGAAGACCCGTGCCTGCCAGAGCTAGCTCTAAATGCATACTCCCTATACAGCATATGGCGAAAAAAGAATTCTCGTGGTGTTCTCCTCTCTCTCTTCTGGGGCCGGTCAAAAGAGGCAATCGCAGTGTACAATGCCATCCTGCAAATTGCAATTATTATTGAGAACAAGCCCCAGATTGTCACTCTCTGCAAGAATATATGGGAGGACAGCCTGGCTATCTCGGAAGATCTCTCCAATACACTGATGCACGTGCACAATATATATTCAACCTGCAACTGCCTTGAAGAAGAGACCAATGTCCACAGCCGCGGTTACTTAATGCACGTATTGGATCTTCTTTCCTCGGCCCAATGATATAAGAATAAATTAAATATTCTAGTTTGCAACTTACACATGAGAGCCAGACTATTACGCGCGTACGTAAGCTTTTTCTTTCTCCTGTGGAGGGCATCTGCTTGGAACATCACAAATGTAAAGAACTACGTGGTGGACACTCTATCTGCAACGTATGAATCGACTGTGAATAAATACTATGGGTATAAAAGCTTTCCTGCCGACATTCGCTTTAAAACCCCGCAGAGTTTATTTGATGACATCATAGAAGACAGAAAGCCTGGGGCTATTAAAATTTCACTCGAACATTCTGTGAATAGCTACAGTACTGCTCTTTTGTCTTACACCATTACCCCAAATGAAGTCCGAGTGACTATATTCTGCAAGAAACAAACACCTGATGATGCGCAAGAAATATACATGAAGGAGCTTCTTACAATTCTCGAAACCATAAGCACTAAAGATAGTATTATATCAATTGCAATTGAGGACATACATATTTTTGGGGAGTTTAATGCGCTTCCCATAGATAATTTATTGCTCCCAAATGTTCTGTCGCTCAAGCTAACTGGCGTAACTTCCTGTAATGACCCAAACGGGGTCAACTCAATTCTTAAGTTTCTTGCACTTTTTCCAAAGTTAGAAGTTCTTGTGTTGAATAAGTGCAACCTGCAGATGCAAGATGGGGTGCATCCTATTCATTGTTTGAAGCTGCCTATGAGAATTAGCTCTCTTCGGATAATAGATAGCAAGGGTGCTACTGATGCAGATAATCTTCTTAATATTCTTCCTCTGTACTTTCTTAGGTTTTTATGGCTTGACAACTCGCATATTACCTCGCTTAATACTCTTTGCAATAATATTCTGTATAAGCAAGAAAATATGGAAGACATTTGGATAAATAATGAACAGCATTTAGCTGAAATTAAGTTTCAATCATCTAAACTCCGAGCTAAGCACCAGCTGAGCATGTTTTCCATTCGGAATATACGCAACCTTAGGAAAGAGAATGTCGATGTAGATTTCACTCTTTTACCAAATGATTCTAGTATCTACTTTCTAATTGACGAAATCACTTCTCCTGCTAATAGTGCAGCAGAAATTAGTTCTATATTAGATAGGTATAATCCGAATTAACCTACATCTGCTGACAAGACTAAAAGATTCTTCCTATGCAGTACCTACTTGCAATATAAAAGACTTTTTAATGATGTACCGTATTGAAAGACAGCATGGTCTATATTATAATGTCTTTAGACTATATTTGAATGGCTTGTGATGGTAATTGCTGCTTGAATATAGCCAGAACTGATCATAGAACGAATTTCTTGAGTATTTTACTCTGTGTCTTATTTGCGGTGTTCTAATGGTATATGTACTTCTTTTATTTTATTCCAGTGTATGCAGTGCTCTTGCGCTTTCATTTATTTCTGTTTTATCCTTCTGATGCAAAGTAAAACTCTTCTGAATAATATATTATTTTTCATATATAGATGCTTTTATTTCTAAATATCTAATCGAAATTGAATTGAAATGCGCACAGTAATATAGTACCAGAAGTAGATTATACACAAGCAAGAGGGTCTACAATTCATCAAGGAGTATTCTCTAACTCAAATATGTAATAAACTGCATTTACAAATTCAATTTCTTTGAGTATCTCACTGGCATTCTGCGCATCGAGTATTAAGTTTCAATGAATATTCTAAAATGTGGCAGGCTAGCTTATTCATATATATACATCTTAAGTATTCCTATGCATGCAAGCTAGTAAGAGTATTTCTTGGAGGTATTTGAATAATCCAGATAAATTAGGTTATATTATGCTTTAATACTCTTTATTCGTGATATATGACTGTTTATACTTCTTGCAGCCCATTAAGCAGCAGGTTTCTGGTGAACTCTTCATGAGAAGATGATATTTCCTTGAAAAGTGCAATTATTTCGCGTTTAATTGCCACTTCATCTACAAGGCCGTTATGAATATGCGGAGTAATTAGCTGAAATAAGATTGGAGGAAGTATTTCATTAAATGCTTCCTTTATTTCTTCCTCCTTCTGGGACTCTTTGCTTATCCCAAGACTTCTTACAAGTAGGAATGTTTCAGATGCAGATTGACTGGAGACCTTTGCAAAATACTCTTCTCCATTATGGCTTATTATTATAGACCTATTCTTCAGCAGAATCTCCTTGTACTCTGCATCCGTTAGTGGATAGAGTGAAAACATCCGCCTCTTAGGAATGTACAACTCTACCGTATCAATTGACCCTATGCTTATCTCTGGAAGTATTTCTAATATTTCCTTTTCCCCGTACTTTACATCCCGGCACTCCAAGAACATCTCTAGCTTGGCTGTTTCCTGGTCTGTTTTCATTAAGAAAGTGTTGCTGTCTTCCCGGCAGACAAGCCTATACGTCTTGTTGTTGCACAGAAGAACAGTTCCTGATGCATTTCTATTCTTAAACTCAGCCAGCTCCACTTCTCCTTCAATCTCCTCTGGCAGATTATTTAGCAGAATGTGCTTGGCATGCAAGTTCATATAGCGAAAAATGCACTAAATTTTTTTATGCCCGCAGAGAAGCACTCTGAGCTTAAGTTCCAGAATGTAGAGGAGGTTAAACTTGCACTCTCTTCACTGACCCCAGAAGAATCTTCATTAAAGGAGTCTCTCCTCAGATGCTACATTCTTAACTTAATTATGTACAATCAGTTGGAGGAGACACATCCCATAAAAAAAACACTTATCACACTCAGCGTATACATTGACTTAGTGGACAAAGCAAGCAAGGCAGACCAGCCAGCAGGCTCAAATATCATCCAGCAAGCAGAGGAAGAGCTCATGCCAGAGGAAGAAGCAGCCCTCAGAAGACCAATTGATTTCGCAATGGAGAAGAACAGGGTCTACACAGAAAGACACAAAAGTGTAAAACCAGAGAAAAGGAATCCCAGGCTGAAAAACAAGAGAAAGTACGAGAATGCACACGATCTAGCAGACAGAGTCAGAAAGGAGCACAATGTTCAAAGGAAATGATCTAATAAAGAAAATAGAAAAATAAAACCAGATATATTTACTTGCTACTTACACATTCCATGCTTAAAGAAGAATTGGAGAGTTCAAGTGGTTTGAATACAAAACCACAAATAGAACAACCCTTTTAAGAGACCTCCCATGGACTGCAAGGCACTCGCTCCAATGGCACTGTGCAAAAGGCCCTTTCCTTGTTTCTACTTTAATTATGTCTGCATCAGAGCCTGCACACTCTTGGATTGTTCTGAAAACACTTTCAACCCAGCCTGCCATCTCTTGGTAGCTCTTTGTAAGCCCAATTGTGAATAGCTTATTTGTTAGGTCTGCCTTGCACTCTTCTTTTGAGATTATTTTCAGATCCTTATAGGTTATTCTGACATCATAATCCACAAATAGCAGATTCAGGGCTGCTGTCACCATAAGGGACAGACTTTTATACTTTCCAGACCTGCTGGTTTTTCTTTCTTGTCTGGTCATTTTCAGGGAATATGTTTCAAAGAGAATGTTCAATCCGGGCGCATTTTCTTTTATTTCTATTATATCCCCTGCTATGCCTGTGGTTGTTGACTCTAGCTCTAGATACTTCATACTTTCAAAATAAAACTTTTTATGACTCCAGAAGACGCACTTAAAGCACTCGTAAACATACAATCCAAAATTGACACAGCCAATGCAGAAACCCTAAAGGAAGAGCATAACTTAAAACTGTCATACTTCAACAGCCTAAAGGAAACAATGGCTGAGAGAGACACTTTAATCAAGGAAATAGACGGATTCTGGGAGGCAGTTCTATGCTGCTCAGAATGTGCAGAGCTGCTTGCAGAAATGGACTACAGAGAGGGACAGGAGGAGACTTCTATAGATATATCCTGGATTGATGAAATAATTGTTGAATACAGAGAGGATTTCAAGTACTACGTTGGAATAAAGGCAAAGGAAAATGCGTACTTTAAGAACACTCTTTTAGAGAAGGAGTTTTCGCTTTTTGAGGGACCAGAGTGCATATCCACCCAAATCGAATGGAAAAACAAGAAATTAATAGAGAATCCACTTGTCAGATTCTTTAGCTCAGCAGATTCTTCAGATGATGACACAAATATGGCCATTTTCCAGTTGCTAAGTGATATTTACTTCAATGCAGTGTACTACTATGTGCGCCTGCCAGAGGACGAGTCAGACTGCTGCGAGCACAAGCACTGAGTATCTGCCAGAATAAAAAATGCTTTGTTTAGGCAGCACTGCCTTTACTTTACATTTGCAAGTGAAATCATTCTTATACCATTATGCTTCTATTCTATACTGACATTTATATACTCCTAGGAGTATATTCAGATATAAGTAAGAATTCTTCATAAATTTAATAAATGGATCAGAGTGTTCTTGAGTTGTACTTATTAGTTTCTATGTGTTTTACATGCGCATTCGCTAAATAGCAAGGGTTATGTAGTAACTTAGTCTATGCTATGGGTATATGTGAGGTGCAGTTTATTTACAGTATGCTTTGGCTATATTGCATGAATGCGCTGTAATATAGTGCATGATGATATTTTAGTCTTTCATGCACTTTAAGTTCTGTAAAATATTTCAGAGTAGACAGCAAGTTTGCATCTCTGGGTGCCTGCAGAAGTTCATAGCCAATAGAATATGAAAAAATTAGAAGTTTAAAGATACTACACAGAATGGGCTGATTATATTGCTTTATTCCTTGTGGTGCTTACTGATCAATTGTGCCTTTTGAAACAACAAAAGTTCCATCTAAGAAGACTCTAAGATCCTTGTTCTTTGGAACGCACTTTTGGCAGATGTTTGCAGCTGACTGAGAGACTGTCTGCATGTTTGGTCCTTCAATGTGCAGGTAGTCCTTTTCTTGTCCTAACTTAGCAATTGCACTTCCTCTCATTTTGATGACTCTGTCACACTTGCTTCCCAAGAAGTTCTTGATTATAACAGTCTTTCCTGCGTCTTCTATGAGCATTGTAATAGGGAAATGCTTGTAGATTGCCTTCACCTTGTAGAGGAATCCTTTTGTGCATCCAACGACTAGGTTGTTTATTAAGCTAGCGCAAGTTCTTACGATTGGTGTTTCCTTTCTTCTTGCTGACCATAATCTGACGTAAAGTGCGTCTTCTTCAATGTCAACTGATAATAACATATGGGAGATATCAAGAGTTTCTGTTCCTTTTGGTCCTGAGACTGTCAGAATCTTGTTCTTCTCAGTGACTATGCATCCTTCTGGGATATTTACCTTTTCTTCTGTTAGAAGTATTCTCATGCAGGGACTAAAATAAAAAAAATATTATAACAAGAACAAAGTATGCATAAAGTACTATGCAGCTGGCAAGAAGTGTATTTATAGTGTTATTGTACTATAAATACATGGAGAACTGCTATGCCTTTGTGAAATAGCTTAATATTGTCGGATTCATATATTTTTCTTAAGAGTATTTTGCATGTGGTGCTAAATATGCACTAGAAAGACGCAGTCTTATAAAGAAAATTAGTATATTTAGGATGCATAGTATGCAAGGGCATTCCATTTCTATCATATACTGCCCTATCTTTCACCTTATTGCCTACCGAATAGAGCGAGTTTAATTTATGTAGAGGCTGAATTATACTATTTTGTCAATTCTTCTAAAATTTTCTAGCTAAGTTCTTGTACTATTCTGGACAAATTTTCCTTTAAAAAAGAAAGAAACATAGAGTATGCTGAGGCGTGCTAGAAATTCTTGCTGATTTTGATGTGATTATGTCTAAACGTAAAATAAATGGTTTTTCTAGCGCATGCATGTAGAGGATACTCCTGATATAGGAGATGGCCATGGTGGTTTGGATGAGCTAGAAGAGACTAAAAAAATTATTAGTTAGAGAGAGTTAAAAGCTTTTTGCAATTAGTTTGACATGGTTAAATTAAAAAAAACTGGCTATTTAAAGAGTTTAAAATTTTAAAAAAGCACACTAATGACGTATTATGCAAAAACAAGTAAACGCATTAAAGCTCATACAACTGTTATTCTATACCTAGTCATAGGCATCTGTATGATTTTTGGTACGCATGCTGCAAATAATGAATGCAGTTATTTGGGTACACTAGAGATTAAAGAATTATTCGAAAATATAGATAAAAATGACTTAATTTCCGCTATGCCCAATGAAGACTTCAATAGAATGTTGGAATTGCTCAATGAATCATCTGCCTCAAAAGATAAAGAATTGGATTCTGAAAAAAACATAGTGAACACTAGGAAGTTTTCAGAGGCGCATGCTGCAAATAATGAATGCGATTATTTGGATATAACCGAGATTGAAGAATTCTTGAAGGATTCAAACAAAAGTGACTTAACTCCTGTTGTGTCTAATGAAGAAAGAAATAGAATATTGGAATTGCTCAATGAATTCTCTGCTTCAAACGATATAGAACCAAATTTAGAAAATCATGCAAGCGACACCCACTATCAAATTGCTCCAGAACAAAAAGCGATAATAATTTCTACATTCTATATAGATGATTCTGGAGATCGATTTTATATAGATGATAAAGGATACAGCATTTGTATGTATCTAACAATAAATACGGTATCCGAAGATAACATCTCGTATAATGTATACATCGATGAATTCGGGAATCAGATTCATATAGATAGTAGTATATGTCCTTTGGCTTTTAATATTGACAATTTAAATATTGAAGATATATCTAGTAAAGTATGCAGCAAACAGGAAGAAAGCATACCTAATAATCCAGTCAAAGCAACCACACTAAAGCGCCCAAGAGATTCTACTTTAACCAGTTCAGGCGATAATTTAAAAACCAAAAGATGCAAATTTATAAAGAGTAGAGATTCTTATTTGGGTGGTGCTAAAATATTCATTAAATCGGATAAGTACCAAACGGCTTGTACGAACCTCAAGGCCTACAAATCTGAAGCACAAAGCGATATAACCCGAGATAAACCCCACGGGTTTTCATACTTGTTTACTAAAGGTGGCATGGATAATGAAAATACAAAATGTGAATGTAGTGTTAAGGAGAACTACAAAGATCAATATCAATTCTGGCACTTTTTAACTAGTTCACGCCATAACTCCTTGGCTGAAAAGATAAAGTGCATTAAAAGCTTAGCTAATGAGATAAAAGCGAAAGAAGTAAAGGATATCACGTCAAATAGTCATTATTATTATTCCTTTTTAGAGGATTTGAAAAACTACATAGAAAATCATATAGACATAGATCACATTAGTGCAAAATACGACTACACAGATAGCAGTAAGAACAACATATGCTCTAAATCTAAAACAGAACCAGAGACACTTGGAGAAATATATGAGGAAACCCAAACAGATCTTAAGTGGTGGGCTAACAGTATGTCGATTATCTCTGCAAAAACTGAGGAAATTAAGAGTGCAGGATCTGCAGATGCAGCACTAAAAGAAAAGCTGCACTTTATTCTAAAGCTGCCAGAGGTGCTCAGAGACTTGGTTCTGATAACTCCCGAGATACTATCAAAGATAAAGAAAGAAATGGAAACTTCCCCTTTTTCAGAGGCTAGAAAGGCTTTATGCATCATAGAGTACTTATACTACTTAGTGAACGATGATGCAAAAAAAGCGAATATTGCGTATACGAAAGTTCAAAAACTATCTGTGAATGGAAAGCATCTAAATGTCCGGAGTGCCATTGAAATATACAGCTTTGTCTATAATGTGTTTTGTTCGTTCTACCAATGTGCGCCATCTACCTGTGTGATGGATGTTAAAAGTGAAGAAGGCAAAGCAGAAAAAAAAGAAGCATGCATTAAAGGAATTTTTCAGTCAGACTGTCCATACATACCGCAGAATGGTGTCTTCAGACTGCATGGAAAAAGAGCAATTGTAAAGCCAACTCTCGGAAAATACAACCTGAATAAGACTACAAATTCAACCAGCAATGGCTCCAACTCAATGGTCATAGAACAGCAAAATCGACTATTTTTAAATATAGCATATCAATGCTCCAAAGATCACTACCATGTGCAGCTAGTTGACAACACCCGTCATACCGTAAAACTCATTCCTATTCCATATTCTCCCTATTGTGAAAATTACATTGCTAGAAATAGATCTATACAAAGGAAAACTCATTCAATTCGATATATAGTAGAGTATATAAAGTCTGTACTGAAGTCAACCTATCCAGAGAAGAGTTCAGATTTTAATGTATATCCATTTAAGTATAATAGAAGAATTAGAAAGTGGTCATTAATAGATGAGAATTTCACTTGGCATAGGGTGAAAGAATTAGATAAATCTCTAAATGAAATGAATGACACTAAACATAGTGTGGTTTTTTACTACTTTGAAGATGGTCTAACCCAAAATCATTTTAGATTTGTAGATTTCCAAACCCCAGCTGATCCGAACTCCGAAACACTACGAATTCCTTTATTTCTTACAAACTTTACGATGATGAGTACTATAATTAGTCCATATATGTTTTTTGATAAAGCATACATTCGAACCGAAATAATTAAAAATTATGCCACTGAGAAAAAAAGGATTAAACCTACTAAAATGATCATTGATACAGCTGCAACCAGCCAGAAGCCATCTTCCGCATCACCAAGCAACAATGATCCTCAACCAAAAAGAAGCTACATTAATTACTACTACAGTGACTTTTTGGTTCGAGGCATAGATGACTACAGATTTTGCACTGCAGAATGCTTTTTTACAGATATCTCACTTAATTTATCAGAAAAAACAGGTGTGCTATCTAAAAGTTGGTACACCCAGATAAAGAGAAGCGTACGCGAGTATACAAACTACCGCTTTCGTATAAGTGCGACTCAGAAACTTCTGAGAGAAAGTCTGCTGCGAGGCAAAAAAAAATTACCTCCGACATTCCTGAGTCTATTGCAGAATGAAAGTTCAACAGACGATAAAGTTACATACGGACTGTGCATCTATACATCTTTGAGTGGCAAGGAAGTTGCCGTTCCAATTATGTGCGAGAAAATGCGAAAGCTTTTGAGTGAGAACATCAACGATGAGATTAAGTCCAAGCATGCAAATTGGGAAAGTGATATTCTTCCTCCACGCATTGATATTAAAGATATCAAAGAGAATTCTACTGTCTTTATCACAGTAAAAGCCTTTAACTACACACAGGCAAATCTTGGAATACACTATGACATGCTAGCTGCGCTCTTTCATAACAACAATAATTCCACACCAGCACTAACACCAGTAATAAAAAGAAAACCATCATCAAAGACAGCTACTAAAAAGTCTTCTAGAAAGACTAAAAACAAAGCTGTTGGCAGTAATTAGAATGAAATCGCTAGAACCTGGTACCTCCTTATTATCACACTACCAAAAGCACCTACACGCAAGATCGTAACCAATCCAACTAAAAGCTTCAACACTAACTTTTTAAGCACTTTATGCTCTCACCAATACATAACACAGAGTGTGTTAGTAAACTCTAGCAGAAATAAAATAAAGTGTTTTTAAGTAATAATGCAATAGACTTTATTGGTTTACATTCTTTAATAACTATTCAACATGGCCAATCTAGCATAACTAGACACGCATAATTACATACCAACAAGCCTTCTCTAAATAGACCATATTCTACTATACGCTATTGTATTCTACTTGCAATAATGCTATTGTCTTTATCCAATGCGCACCATATTTTGCTCTCTTTGTGCTGCATAACACTAGATATTGCCGACGGCTAAACTCAGGGGCTGTGGCACTCTTCCACTAGGGGGTCTTTGAGTTTTGTCTTTTTTTGTATTTTCCATGCTCCTCTCGAAAAAATAGAAATAATATTAAAGTGTATAATGCATAAGTAAATAGAGAGAATATTTTGTATTTTTATAAAAAAATAGCAGGACACTTTACATTTTATGTATAGGAGAATATACTATAATAAATATACTATGGGAAGCCTGTAGAGTAGAGAGAAAAGTAAAAAAACACTAAATATACAAAGACTAAAATCTCTTTCTAAAAATTAGAGGAATACGCATGAAACATAAAATAGTAATTAAGTAGAGACATACCTATATAAATGAGGATATATTTATTGGTGTGTTATACTATTTTGTCAATTCTTCTAAAATTTCCCAGCTAAATCCTTGTACTACTCAGCACAAATTTTCCTTAAAAAAAGGAAAAGTACAACTCGGAAGCCATTTACGTTGCTAGCCCTTTGAAAGGAATACATATCACAAAAAGATCTGTTTCATAGAAAAGATGATAGTATATTTATAAACAAGTTGAACCTTTCAATCTCAGCATTATTTTTGCATAGCTGATCCTTCAGACTCATAAGAGTGTTGTAGGCCTGTTTGTATATGCAGGTAGAACTAATATACTTATTACACTTTTTTGAAATATAGCTGGTGTTGCGGATAGCATCTAAATTTGCCTTAATAAGCCTTATATTTGGGTTCTTACTAACACTAAGATAAACCATCTTTTTATTACAAAATCATCAAGCATGTCAGAATACTCCATAGTTCCATCTTTAAATATATGCATGCAAATCCTTCTATTCAATGAATTAGCCAATAATACATTTGAATATTGTATTCCTAATGGAACTATACTAAAATTCTATAGTAATGGCTCCAGATACATCGTACCTTCCGTTATTATATTGTTCACTTTTAAGATCAGAAAACAGTATTTCTATATCTTTTGTTTTTGATAGTTGCTTCAGCAATTCTTCTGTGTACTCTTGAATTTCACCACATAATTCATCGTTCAATTCTCCATTTTGTTTCTTCAAAGTCTCTAAAAAACCAAGAACTTTCTCTTTTGCTTCTTCTAGCGCATTTACTATTTCAGCAACAGCCATAAGCATATTTATAAGACCGCAGTCTAGCTTGTTTCTTCCTTTACAGTATGCAATTCTAGGACCTTTTAGGTCTGCAACGACTTTGCACCACTCCATCTGGACTTAGCCTTTGTTGTGTCAAATGGCTGGTTCTCCAAATAGAAGAATTCTTTTAAATTAGGAGAAACATCTCCTATGTGTTCTGTCCCATAACTTCCCTCTGCAGGGTCATATGGCAGGCAGCAGAAAAGAGAGAGAATCACACACTTCACAGAGTTACTGTAGTCTTTCAACTGATAAGTAGAAAACTCTTTGGCTTCCCTGCTGTATCTAAGAACAGATGCGTAAGCAGGAAGCTCTGTACTGTTTGCAAATGGAAAGACCTTATACATACTCATAATTTGTTCTGTACTCTTCATCAAGGTCATAGTGTCTATTCTTGTTACAGTGCTAGTAGGCTTAAACAGTCTGTCATACACACAGTTGTCTTTGCTTGGTGCTTTTGTCTTTGGAGCATATTTCTCTGTCATGGTGTGCACAGTCTGGATAAATTCAATTGCGCACTCTGCCGTGTCAATAAACCCGAATATACGACTGCATCAGAAACTTGGGACTGTCCAGGAACTTTCCTGTGGCAATCTCATCCAGTGAGCACTTGTCTTCCATTATTCTAAGCACATCATCATTGGCTACTTTCTCCTGGAAGAATTTGATCATTTGCTTAACTTTCTTCTATTCAAACCTTTTTGTCTCACTCGCTGTAATATCTAGCCACAGGATGACCATAGACACTTCAAAGTATATTTTGTCTTTTTTGTCTGTTTCATACACCTTCAGTTTCTTGTTGGTAACTTCAATAGGAATATGCACTCCCTCTGAGAAAAGAAGCAGCATAGCAAGAATCTGCAAAGAGTGTTCTTCTGTTGTCTCTTCCTGCAGAAATTGAACAAAAGACTGGTTACTTCCTGTCTCTATTGTTATGTTCACAGTGGGTGATGGAAATAGCTCAGTCATATGATTATGGCACTTCTCAGCATAAAAATCCATTTCTTTAGTGGGCTGTGCAGTGTGTGCTCTGTCCATCTGTTCTTCTCGTGTGTGTATGGGACTATCAAAAACATTTGGGTGTTTGGGGTTTGTTTCTACAGTGTAATGTGTGTTGATTTATGGGGAAAAGAATCTTTTGTTGTGCATAAAGCTCATCTTCTGGTAGATGTATCCCCATAAAAAGTTAAGGGGTCCTTTTCGGGTTTATCAGAACACTCTTCTGGTCTGATGCAATTTCAAATTTCAAAGCACAATCGACTTCATCTAGTGTCATCTCTGCTGCAAACTAAGAAAACCAAAGATAAAAGCGTATTTAAAACCACCACCACACACATACACTAGAAACTCCCCTAAAACTCATGAAAATTAACCACCCGAATATAAATTATTCCCTTTATATTTATTTATTCTGTCCATTCTATACCTATATACTCCAGAACCACACAAACCAGCGCAAATACAAATATGCACAGTGCCATATAGTGCACCATACACATATATACTAAAGCACCAAATTATAACAGAAATATTCCAATAAAATATCACCATAAAACACCAAATATATAACCAAATACAACAGAATTATATGGCATACCCAATATTGCTTACTCTCTCATGACCTGCCAATACTCTCTGCATACGCTCTAAATCTTCCATAAGATAATTAACCTTCACAACAAGAGAACAAGAAGGACACGTAGCAATTTCTTCTCCATTAAATAATTCCTCAAATGATATCTCAAATCTATCACCACATGGACACGGATACGTAAATACTTCATTCACACGATCATACTCCATCATGTCAATATCCACTTCTTCATAGTCTTCATCCATCTACAACAGAACTGCAAAATTAAAAATAAATTTTATTTGCATGGTATGCTGGATAAATGGATAGAACAGCTCATGCTCTGCGAACCATTAGCAGAGACAGAGATAAAAGAACTCTGTAAATTAGCCACAGAAATATTCCAAAGAGAAAGCACACTTATCTCACTTAAGGCACCCATTACAATATGCGGGGATGTACATGGACAGTTTTTCGACCTGCTAGAACTCTTCAAGGTGGGTGGTTTTCCACCAGAAACACCATATCTCTTTATGGGTGACTATGTAGATAGAGGGTACCACTCAGTAGAGACACTAAGTCTCTTGCTGTGCTTAAAGATTAAGCACCCAGAGTCAGTGTGCATGCTAAGGGGTAACCATGAGAGTAGACAAATAACACAGGTTTACGGGTTCTATGATGAGTGCTTCAGGAAGTACGGATCATCAAATGTATGGAAGTATTTTACAGATCTGTTTGACTATCTGCCGCTTGCTGCAATTGTAAATAATGATGTATTCTGTTTGCACGGGGGTTTAAGTCCTGCCTTAGAGACACTTGATGAAATACGAAATATAGACAGGGTACAGGAAGTACCGCATGAAGGAGGGATGTGCGATTTATTATGGAGTGACCCAGAAGAAAGAAAGGGATGGGGTGCATCACCGAGGGGTGCAGGGTACACATTCGGAGAAGACATAACAGACCAGTTCACGAAGAAGAATGGTCTGAAGATGATTTGCAGGGCACATCAGTTAGTCATGAATGGCCACAACTGGAATCATCATAAGGGTGTAGTAACTGTATTCTCTGCACCTAATTATTGTTATAGATGTGGGAATTTGGCGTCTCTCATGGAGATGGATGAGCATGGGTCGTACCAGTTTACGCAATTTGACTCGTCACCAGAGCAGAATTCAGAGAAGGTGCAGCAGGTGCCGAATTACTTCATATAATTTAGTGAATAAAAGGGGTTTATAAAGTTATAAAAGTGTGGTGTTTTATATTGGGGGATTTTTCCGTTATAATATGGTATATTTGTGATTTATACGTGTGTTTTATGTTATAATATGGTCTAATATTGGTTATAACAGTATTTTTATGTGTTATAACGGTATTTTATGGTATATAGGTGTATTTTATCTAGTGTAATGGTGTTTTGTGGTATATTTATGGGGTATAAATATACAAGCGTATTTCACACCACAATTTCCCTAATACACACATATTACAATTAGTCTAACACACACAGTACAACAAGCACTAATTTAAATATAAATATATACATCTATTACCTGTAAGACTATAATATATTTATACAAAGGACAAAGGCGTTTTTAAAAAGTTCTTTACTTTTTTTATTTTTTCAATACACCATTTTAAAAAAGTCCTTTGCGCTTCATGAATATTTAGGGGGAGTATTTAAACACATATTAGTCTAAGAATATACTAAGAATATACTAAGGGTATTAAGCATAATAAAACAGTTTTATTTAACGTATAAACCATAATAATCTATAAACTAACGTATAAACAGTATAAAAATCACGTATAAACTAACGTATAAACAGTATAAAATACCCAATATACCCAAATAAAAATACCCATCTGCATAACTTTGATTTATTCATGCGCTTTTGTTAGTTCATGTCCTATGAACATTCACTTTCCTTCATGCCGTATGGCCACACATGCTTATACCCTGATGCTTTTTGTCCTCGCAAAGAGTGACTGCACGAAGGCTGAGCAGTTCTGTGCTGCCCTTGAGAGACCGTTGCTCACAGTGGATGCAGCAGACACAGCCACCTCACGGACCTGGCTGTAGGCCTTCCCCAGGAATGACCCACTCACACGCCCAACAAGACCGTGCACCTGCCCAATAAAGGACCGTACGAAGTCAACAAGCTGCTTCTCCCCCAGGACACGCACTAATACAACGTAAACCCCAAGGGCCAGAATGACATTAACAGCCACCCCGAGTATAACCCCAGCAACTGTCTTCCTGTGCCGTCTTACAACTGAGTCCCTGGGCAGAATACGCACAGCCTGACTGTATGCCATGCTGAATCCAACAAAGACCAAGGCAAGTGCACACATTTCACTGAATATTCCTGTGTACCCCAGGCTAATACCACAGCACAGTAATACTGCACCCCCTAGTGCACTGACTACCTGTATACTTTCCAGACTAAATATTCTCTCCATTAATACAACAGATGCACTGTATGCAAGTGTAATTATGCAGGCCTGCACAATATGCACTAGTATACGGGCATCTACTACGTACAATATTCTTGTAATGTATCCTGTTGTATACTTATTATAAGGCACTAATAAAGATACAAATACAATTAAAAGTATACTTATACAGGACCCGTATACACTAGTCCTAATAGACCTATTCTTAGTACTACTAGGGAACATTTTCTCATGTTCTGTTCTCTTACCGTATGATATACTGTATACAGATAGTATATATAGTACAGTGTATATGACAGGCCAGTTAATTAGTACTTGATTACTGTATGATCCATTAGTTATAACGTATTTCACTTGGTGTGCACTTAGTACAGCCAGTATACAGAGTAATGTACCCTTAATATATCTAGATACAGGTGTACTGTATAGTAGTACAGATATAACAGGTAGTACTACAGATATAATTGGTATATTTAGTATAGTAGACTCTGTTAGTGATGTATTATATAGTGATAATTTATGTGATAATACAGTGTAAATTAACTGTACTATTGGGAGTATTATGAATGACTGTAGTATTCTGTATATAGATATGATTAATCTGTATATATTAGTGTATACTACTTGTTTTTCTTGTTGTTTTACAGTGTAAGTCTGTGAGAGTAATTTGTATTCTTGTTCTGATACTAATGTAGTTTGTACTGTTCCATTTGCATCTTGTTCTACCCAGATGTAATTACGGATTATTTCTGGTTGATTTTCGTTATTTTCAGGTTCAATATTGTTATTTTGATTATTAACTGATTTTTCACCTGATTTTACTACATTATCAATATTAGTCACATTTACCACATTATCAACTGATTTTACCATATTGTCACCTGTCTTCACTATATTCTCAATTGGGTTGATAATATTTTCAGGTTCAATGTTGTTGTTTTCATTTTTAATTAAATCAATTTTAATTAAATCACCAACGGTTTTTACTGAATTATTAATATTAGTCACAATTTCAACGGGTTTACCACTAACTACAACAGAGTGCTTTGATAATAAGTATTCTTTATAGTGTGGGTGTACATTACTAGATATCTTATGACTAATTAGTCTATCTATATGCGTATTGTGTTGCTCTTGGTCTACTTCATGCAGTAATTCTGCTAATTCCTGTGGTTCTGTCTTATGTTCTGCTTCTTTTTGGAAAATATTCCAGATTCTTGCCTTAAATGACTTTACGTTCTGGCCGTACTTTATATTTGACCTTCCTGGTGCCTCTAAGGACAATTTCTCTGTTGATTCTTGCTGTAACATTGCATTTACGTCTTTTTCCTGTAATTTGACGACAGAAAGTGGGGTTTTTTTGTATGTGATGAATAATACGTTAGATGGGACCTTCATCCAGTCACTGTGTGCTAGTAGGTTGAATTTATCTGTTATGATGGGTTTGTACGCGGTGGCGTATGCTTCTTTTGCTACTTTCATTAGGACTGCTGCTCTGATGGCTGTCTTGATCAGAATTTTCATAAAAATTTAAAAAAATATTTATATTTATAGTGTGACAGAATTTATTACGCACTGACAGAATTTATGGCAGAGTGACAGAATTTAATCCACAATGACAAGACTTATTATTTTTAAATATAAAGTGACAAGACTTATGGCACATTTATAAAATATGGCAAGACATATGCCCAATAGTACAAGACTTAATCCACCCTACCCCAAAGATGACAAGACTTAATCCATTTTGTCAGGACTTATTGCACTTTTATAAAATATGACAAGATTTAATCCACTATGACAGAACTTATTACTCACTGAAAAAACTTAATCCACTTTATTGTGAGGTGAACAAGGCTTTTTCCACATTGTGCAAGACTTTTTCCCTCTTTACATAAATTTGACAGAACTTTCCCCCTAATAATATAAATTTGACAGAACTTTTTCCACTTATATTTATATACAGAATATATTACACATAGTGGAAGAAGTCTTGTCATTTTTATTAAAAATAGAAAAAGTCTTGTCTATAATGGAATAAATTCTGAATAAGTGGAATAAGTCTTGTCATTTTTATTAAAAATGGAAAAAGTCTTGTCTATAGTGGAATAAATTCTGAATAAATGGATTAAGTCTTGTTCAATTTATAATAAAGTGGAAAAAGTCTTGTCTATACTGCCATAAGTCTTGTCATTTTATATTATTAGAGGAAAAAGTCTTGCCCGAATTATAAAAAGTGGAAAAAGTCTTGTCATCTTTCGGGTAGGGTGGAATAAGTCCTGTCTAATTTATAAAAAGAGGATTAAGTCCTGTCATGGAAATGACAACAATAACACATTACCTGAATAATAACGGCTTTTATCAAATAATATTCTAGTGCATTTTTATATCCGTTAGATTCATCTCTGCGACTTAAACACAAGGACATGTATATTGCATATACTTATCTCTAAGAAATGATTCTTTGCAACAGAACATGACCCAGTGTAATTTTCCCCTACAATTACGTTCCAGCCTGGCTTAAACTTAGAGTCTAAAGAATCCTTCAGGCCCTTCGCCAATTTCCCGTATACTTCAGGGACTATTTCCTTATAAGATAAACATGTGTCTGCTACAAATGCCTGTACGTCTTCCTGGATATCCTTATGGATTACTGTCAATTTCATATTATCAAGGATGCCTTTCTCCTCATCCTCTGATTTACTTCTCATTTTATAGATAATTTCAGTTTTTTCCTTATATGGTAATACTTATTTTCCTTATAGGGTAAGTTTCAATCTGTTTCAGATTTACACTTGAAACAGCCTGTTAGAGTTAGTCTATCTCTGTTGTATTTAGTCACACTCTGTTGTATTTAGTCGTATACTGTATAATTCTGCTATGTTTAGTATATTTATTCTATCCTGTTGTAAAATAGACTAAATTCCCGTTGTAATTAGTCTATCCCTTATATACCCCTTGTATATTCATAATTAGTTTATCCTGTTAGAATTAGTCATGCTCTGTTGTATTTATGACTAATCCATATATCTCTGTTGTAGTTAGTCTATATGTATACTCCTATTGTAGTTAGTCATGCTCTGTTGTATTTCGTCATATCCCTGTTATACTTAGTATATTCCTGTTGTATTTAGTATACTCCTGTTGTAGTTAGTCATATATTGTTGTATTTAGTCATATCCCTGTTATACTTAGTATATTCCTGTTGTATTTAGTCATATATTGTTGTATTTAGTCATATCCCT